AAGTTTATTTGTACACAAAAGACTAATATTATTCATTGCGGTTATACCAGGAATAATACTATCTATCCCATTGAACATTACTTACAGCCTTGATTTAGGTTATTTACAAACGACAAATACGTTGAATTACAACAAACATATTGTTGAGCATGTTTTTTAATCTCGAGACATTTTCCTTCTCATTTTAATGAGTACAGCAAATGCGATTTTGGGCCTCTTGGATTTTTGAATACAATAAACGTATTTCCGTACTTTCAATTACTTTTTAAAAATATCTGTACAACATGAACTACAGATACTGAATCTTGTTGTTAATTTGCAGTTTATCGAGTGATTTACGAGATAGATGTTTAGGTAGATAAACTATGACATAACTAGAAAAAGTATCATATATCATAGTTTCATATAAAAAGAACACTTAAATTATGTATATTTTTAATTACTTATACATAATTTAAGTGTTTATAGTTATATACCAATCAATGTAACTACCGTGTAGTGGCCGTGTAAGAATATCTACCACCCCATATCTTACCGTGAGTGTCTTAACAAGCGACAGAGGATAACTTATCAGGAGAAAGGCAGCAGCGCATTCCTAATAACGAATTAAAAAAAACTGCGGTTTCCCACCAGCTTGCTAAGCGTGGCAACTATGGCAAATATCCCCCCTATGAGGTAATCTATGGGGGAGGCCTATGTTCAGCAGTGCAGTTTAATAGACTGTAACGGTTACAGTTCACCAATGTATAATATTATTTATGAATCCGTGGCAGCTCAAGCGCTAAGCGCTCGTTATGAACTTCACAGTAGACGAGCAACCTGGATTTGATCCATTTTACTAATACGCTCTGCATCAGTAGACGGATTAATTCCCCCACAACCCTCTCAGAAATGACAGGTCTGTGCCCAACTGTAGGATAAAGGATATAACATCTTTTATTTTTAACCGACTTCAAAAAAGGAGGAGGTACTCAATTGGACTGTATGTTTTTTGAACTTTTTCTATGTGAACCAATTTTAATGAATTTATTATTGCTGAAAGCTGAAGCTTCTCATGTATTCCCATATAAATTTTATCAAGATCTGACTTGAACTACATTAATGATGTTCTCATTTTTTTATATTAAAGTCGGTTGTACTAATTTTTTACTTTTACCACTTGTTATTTCTAAAAAAGGTGTATTTTTAAATTACAGGTATAGATAATATTATAATACGTGAGGGTAATATGGTCATCCGTTTAATATACTTAGTCACTTTCTTATAACCCAAAAACTTCAGCCTTGTTTGTAGAGGTGGCTTTGTGATACGATAGCTCTTCATCAGTTAATCAAACAATATAGGGTCAAAATCAAAAGGTCGCTGCTTTATTGACGTTATTTTGGCATTTTACATTGTAGTAAATATTTTAATCGATTTTAGTATGGTGTAGTGTAGTTTTTTTTACCAAGGCTTGTTTGGTTTTTTTTAATAGATTTCTTATATGTATACGATTTTGTTTTTGTCCTTGTCCTCCTCCTATTTTTAGTTTTATAGGGCGGCAAATCTTAAGACCATATTCCCCTCACGTACCTTATTTAAAAAAAAAATTAAAATAAATATATCAAAAGAATGTTAATATTGCAGTAACAACATATTAACATTTACATTATACACGTAATACCGGCGCGAATATTATCTGTTTCTTATCTAAAGTTCTACAAATAAACTCTTATCTACGGTAATAAATTTATGGCAGGTGCAGGCGATGGTAGTGTAATGTGATACGTTCAGAGGGCAAGAGCTTGTGAACAAACAGAGTCCGAAACATACCGAGACCAAGAAAATTGTTAAGCTGTGCTCATTTACCAAGGACTCGGCGAAAGGAAAGCAGCGAAAACTATGTGTCTTCATAAAAAAAAAACAATTTCGAGGATGTGTAAAGTTTGCAAACACTCTGCTGAAGGAAATTCTGCCCTAAAATCCTTAATAATGAGAAGAGTCTTTCGCCCTACAGTGGGACGTTTATTGGTTGTACTTTTAATGCTATAGTTGATTTTCCGTTATTTCACGGGAAAAAAGATCTTCAGAGGCCTATAGCTTTTGTTGTATCAGGAATAGGAATGCCGGTAAGACCAGGGAAGGACCACGCCCTCACGGAATACCCAACGTTAATAGCAGTTTCACGACTTAAGGAGAATATGGACTATGGATCACAACATCTACTTATTGGCTGTGTTTGGCAGTAAAAAGCACTAGGAAGCGCTTTTAAGCAAAATGCCGAAACTACAGTTTTCGGCCAGGAAATGTTTGCTAACTTCAGTAGCGCTGACACAACCCGCCATTTTGTTTATTTATTCTGTTTGTTTTGAAGTAGAATTTATAAGTTGTTTTGTGCAATTAGTTTCAAGAAATATAATGACAAGAATAAACACATTATACATGTTATAAAAATTCATGATTCATCATCATTATCACTACAGCCCTTCACAAGTCCACTGCTGAACATAGGCCTCCCCCAAGGTATACCACAAAGCACGGTCCTGAGCCAGCTGCATCCATCGACTTCATGCATGTCTTACCAGGTCGTCACTCCATCTAGTGGGGGGTCGCCCTACACTTCGCCTACCGGTACGAGGCTGCCACTCGAGAAGCTTTTTTCTCCAACGGTTGTCGGTTCTTCGAGCTATATGGCCGGCCCATTGCCACTTCAACTTACTAATTCGTTTGGCTATGTCGGTCACTCTGGTTCTACTGCGGATATCCTTATTCCTAAGTTTATCAGGCAGAGAAACTCCGAGCATAGCCCTCTTCATAGCTCGCTGAGCGACTTTGAGCGTCCTCATACGGCCAACAGTGAAGGACCACGTCTCGGTTCCGTAGGTCATCTGGCAACACGCACTGGTTGTACAGCTTTGTTTTCAAGTTTTGAGGTACACCTGACGAGAAGATGTGTCGTAATTTCCCGAACGTATCTTCATGATTGGTAAGTTTTTAATATGAATACTTTACAAACATATATTTAAACTAGGTTAGGTTCCCCGGTGAAAACTAACTTCGTGTCCTAGAGGAAAATAGCTATTTACCATTTGACAGCGCTTACCGCTTACGATCGCCATTTTGCTTACAAGCGCTTCTTAGCTCTTTTTTCCGCCAAACACAGTCATTATCAGGTGGACATTGTGCTCGTTTGTCACCCTTATTCTATGTCAAAAATGCTTAGCCTTTTTTATACACTACATAATCAAAAAAAAAAAATAACACAGCTGCAAATGCTAATAAAAATGGAAGGTCATTGAACCGTGTGTCAATTTTATGGAATTTATTTTCATATTGATCAAAAAGTATGACAAGGATGCTGTAAAGCGGATACAGAACGAGACTTGAGTGAATCATGGCGCCTTCAAACCATCCATTCCTAGAATTACTTTGCCTCACTTTATACGTACGTCGGGCTCGTATCGCGCGCTACGGAGTGAGGTCATTGACTGACTTGGACCAAAGATAACACAAGCCTCAGCAAAACCTTATGAATGGGTTTACGAATTTTGTGAACGGTAATATTTAACAACATATAAATTATGTTGTTAAAATACAAATTTTAACAACATAACGTTATTCAATGTTTACCTATAATTAGGATTACGATATTGTATATTTTGTTTATAATATTATATTTTATTAGTATATTGTTATGATTTTTAAATATATTATTATATACATCACCTCCTACATAAAAAAGATAAAAGTGAGTAAGGCATGATAATGATGAAAATATCCTAAAAAAAATTACGCCTACCTGATTAGCGTAAAGTACAATCAACCCCAACCTTACTATTAACTTGTTTAAAAACGTATCTTATGTTGCCTTATTTTTTATAGTATAGGGTGACAAACGAGCACACAATCCACCTGATGGTAAGTGGTTGCTGTGGCCGATAGACCATACATATCTACATCTATCCTAAATTACGAATCAAAATGCAGATGCGTTGTAATCCGTGAGGACTAGGACTAGGGTGGAACGCCTCATTTCCAGTAAAAAGGGTCTCGGGTTCTTTACACTCACCTTCGACACTCAGCAGCATTAAGCTTCTATTTTACGCTGGGATTCTGTGAGAGCATGGTCCTTACCTGTTCGAGCCGACCCATTCGTGCTACAACTATACTGCTAATACAATTGCAGCAGGGCTCTACCACGTGTAAAATTATATCCTAAATAATATATATGTAAACTGGATGAATTTTTTACCGTCTGGAAAAAAAATTGGGTGTAACAGGTGAACGGAATAGAAGCCTATGGCAATGATATTTCATATTTATTTCTTTTATATTAACATATTATGAAATTGATCTATCAATAACCATTACTAATTGGGTGCATATTATTTTCATTTCATTTATTTATTTAGTTCAACATTTTTATATTTATTTTTTTAGTGCCGAAAATTTATTTTAAATTAAAGTAAGTATTTATCGATAGATAAATTTCATAATATGTTAATGTAAAATATCAAAATAAAGCAAAAAAAAAATGTAAAATATCAATGCCATACGCTTCTATTCCATTCGCCTGTTACACCCAATTTTTTTTCCAGACGGCAAATAAATCATCCGCTACCTATGTAACGCTATCAGTCATAAAATATTAAAATCGACAAAAAAATATAAAATATTTATAATAAATAGTAAGTTGTATTAAATGTTTTTAAATTTTTGGAAACTGAAACTCAAATTTTATTTAGACTCAAAGAATTTCATTGGCTTCAAAAGCATCAATATTATGCAGTTCCTCACGCAACGCACTCTAATGACGTCGTTGCTGACTCACAAACCGGTTCTGTATCTGAATCCAATAAATTTATATATATTAAATTTACTCCGAACGTTGGCCGATCAGTATGTTAACATTAATAGCCGAGAACACATGGCTCGATACATTTATGTGCAGTGATCGTACGACGAATGCTACACGCGTAATTTATATTACTATCAGTGAAAAGTTTCGTTTAGTTGTTACAATGTGTAACTGTAAGGGACAACACATAATCGTTAGAAAAGCAAAAGAGAGACGGGTTTGTACTTTTTATTTTACACAAATATAAAAAGAAATCTTACAACATTAATAGTTTCAGTTAACTTTCCCCTCGGCATTACTCCCTGCATTATTGTTTTGTGTAGCTTTCAGTGTAAAGTTTTCGTTTAACTTTCTTTCTGTATAAAAGCGTTCCTTTTTTCAATTAATGGTAATTGATTGATTTATTTATTTTAGTTTTAGAATGAAAATAAAGAATTGTTTGTTTTTTATTAATGATTTAAACAAATGATATGACTTTTATCAGTTAATATTTTGTCAAATCTGATCTGTGATCTGAATCTCCTGTTCCTTCTGATACTGTAATTAATTTTCGTTTAAAAATATGTTTACCATTTTGGATGTAGTTATTATATAAGAAGTAAACCTACTTATGAGCAATGTTCTATAAATGCATAACATTTTAATTCCGATATATCACACATAATAATATTTTGCGTCAACATACCGCCGTGCCGGCGTCGGCGTTGCGATTCAATGTGTCGCGCCTTGATAACAGTCGTTAAGTTATATCTGTTGCACAAACGATTGCGTCGGAAACGGACATGGCCTGCCCCAACAGCATCGCCCACAGTCGCTCTTGTTGCACAATGCAATCCATCATTATCGCCCGATTTGGGACGCGCTGTTACTGTGCAGCTGCGGTTCACATATGCGCTAGGTGTAGATGCCCCATCATTTTTCAAAAACAAATCCGGACAATATAATTACAATATTGCTTGGTACAAACTGTTCTTGATATTATACTATATTTCTCGCTCAAATATTGTATTTTGCATGTGGTCATCGCCTTGCCACTTAACTCTTAGTACATTTGATATGTTATCTGCAATTAATAATTTAGTGTACCGTATGTTAGTGTCTTCATAAATAAATAATATTACAACACTGGTGTAAATTAATAATATTTTAGTTTTTCGAATATAGGTCTAAGGTTTATACCCGCCATCTTCGCTGAGCGTTAATTAAACTACTAACTCTTCGACTACTATGCCAAATTTCGTCTTAGAATCTGTACAGCCGTTTAAGCATGATTGGAGGACAAGCATCGAAACATCACTTTCACATTTATTACATTATCAGGATAGAGACCACTTCGCGTGATATCTTTAGCGATTTTTCTGGTCGAGATTTGGATTAGAGACCGTCCGTCGTAAGAGCCTAATCTTTTCTCAAAAACCGGTAATGCAAGAGCAAGAGCGATTCCTCTGGTGGTGCAGTTGTTACCATCAGGCGAGCCGCATGTACATTTGCCCCCACTTCTATGTACAATTTTAGTTACATCGTGCAGGCAATTAATAAATAATATTTTTGCAATTATTATTTAATGCAATAACATAAAAACTTTATGCGAATACGAAATTAAGTAATAAAATATGATTCTATTAAGTACTTAATTTCCTAATCGCATGAATAATTAGTATAATTTTCAATTCTTATTTATTTTTAGCTACTTTTTCCGTAGCGTAATCTTTATTGTAAGTTTTTTGTCTATTATTTTGATTGATGTTAAAAATATTCAGCCTACTGTTTAATAATGCCTATTGATACATACGCACTATAATACTTTCCCAATCAAAAGATTGCAATTTCGGGAAAATTATTATAGAATGTATTATTGAGCCTTCTGGATCATAATATAATTAATAATGAGGTACGAAAACTACAAACAACTCGAACGAATGAAGAATAGCAAGCACTTAGAAGTATTTTTAAAGTGCTCTTTACCGACAATAATTTTTTTCATTTTTACTTGTGGAAATAATGTGTAAATATGCTTATAAAATATAAAAGTAGTAGCATAATGACATATTAATTATTATGCTTCAAATTGAGGCTGCATGCCATCGGCACAACTGTAAAATTCTCGAAATATGCGTAGGCTTTTTTTAAATATTTTAAGGATTTTTTATTTGAAAAAAATAAATTATTGGTTTTTTTAAATTTATAAATCGTTGCGCCAACGCACACACTTGCATTTCGTATTTGTTGATGTATTTGTTGGATGTTGGCGGACATAATCCCCCTCTCTTCCGTTCCTTCCCTGCACTGGCCGGCCTAGTAGGAGCAAGATACTGGTGGACGCATCTAATACAGTACACTATAGTGTATTTATTATCTATGCACTTGACGTTCGCCCCGCCATACCTTTGATCACTATTCGCGCAAAACCATAATAATAAAATAAAACAAAAAATCTTTCACTAAACTCGTGGGACGCGTGGTTAATATAGCGGTGTGGGCGAAAATGCACGCGGGGTGTCGCTCCAATAAGGAACATAATAACAAAGTCTACGCTTACACTACGAAGCAGTGTTCTATTCTAATTGTATGTTTAAATTGTTTGAAAAGGCGTTCTATTGTTTGAATTTTACATTTACTATATTGATAGTTTTACAAAACAATTCTGTCAGATTAAACTTTTAACTATTCATGTCTATGTAATTTAGTTTTGGCGCCTTCCGCAAGTCGATGTCGAATACGCGAACATATAGCGCGTAGCTGGTGGTAATACACCTAATTTTAATTCGAACTTCTTAATTATAATTTCTAAGGTCAAAACATAACAGAATCATGACTGATCCACGTACATATGTAGTTGTCAATGACATTCCTATTAAAATAAAGAAACACCTTTTAAAAACGATTCAATTAATGTAATTATTTTTAATATTTACCCGAACGCTAAGTACATATTGAACAAAACTAATTAGGTTATAAACATTGAGATATTATACGTACTTTATACTTCACTGATGTTAAAGCATTTGATGTCGATAACTCAATGTCTAGATTTTAAGATATTTTTATGAAATAAGGGTGACAAACGAGCACACAGTCCACCTGGTGGTACCTAAGTAGATGCTGAGGCCCACAGACATCTACGTTTACCCCGATTAAGAATCAAAACGCAGATGTGTTGTCACCCTTGAGGACTAAGACGGAATGCCTCGTTTCGCATACGCTGGTATTCGGTGAGAGCATGAATGAGTGAGAAGTGAAGAGGAAATATAAAAATGTACGTGATTGAATAATATTATGTAAAATAATTTATATTCATATTTCTTATCCTGTAATTTGTGATGAAACATACAATATTTAGAATTTCTTCTTATTTTATTAAAACTAACAAAGATAGTTGAATTCAAATACAATATATCCACAATTGACTGCTACAGAAAAGATTAATATAAAGAAATTTTGTCATGTTAGTTTCTTCCACTTTAGAATATTTTTACTGGATTTCTATGAGATCGTAGTTCATCCCTGGTCGCGCCGACCCATTCATACTGAAGCTCCAGTGTGACTACTATCTTTAAAAATTCTGAATTTTTCTCGTATTGAAAGTTATAATTTTTAAAGACAGCAGTCGTAAAATATATTCAGTGTTTATATTTATAGGGATAGATACAGATTTTTAAATTACAAGTCGACGATTGAATCACGCGTAAACAGCCAAAGTCCACGGTTAAACATCCAGGAATGTGCCAGCTGGCAATCATTGATTTCAAAAACAATTTGGAAGAAAAAAAGGTCATTACACTGTGGTGACGGGGTGCAGGCATTCGTAATGCTACAGCACATCACCAGCCTGTTAAATTTAAATTCAGAGGTTTAATGTATTTTCTGCCATCTGCCTGTTACCAGAGCCATTCGTCATCAAGCAAGGCGTATCATGTGAAGAGGAGGTTGGTATTTGAAAACAAAAGTGGAATATTCTTTCTTACATCACACTACAAAATATCGATATAAACAAGTATGTAACGTAACTATTTGTTATTCAAATTAAAATAAACTTTTTGAATCGAACGAATGCCTTCTAGAAAATCTACTTGACAAAAGATTGGAGTCGATCACTTGGATTAAATATTAATTTCCTTCACTTATTCATCCATTTGTTTGCAGTGTATGGCGCGAGCATTATACGACAACATAGCAGAGTCACCTGACGAACTGGCATTCCGACGAGGCGACCTTCTCACCGTGCTGGAGCAGAATACTGGTGGCAGCGAGGGCTGGTGGCTGTGCTCCCTTCGAGGTCGACAGGTGAGGCATTACTTTAACCACTTACCTTAAGTTTCGTTGTTTATATATTCAAATACCACCAAATCTATTATAAAATAAAACGTCGGAAGGAAACTAAGTTCGAAGAATTTATAAATGCTTCCGAGGGCAATTGAAGTTTACTAATTTGGACCGGAGCAGCGTGATAGACCTCTTTTCACCGCAATAGTCCTTACAAAAAGTAATGCCCAGCATTAAAACCTTACTTTTCAAATAGGAGCCAGAACATTAATCAAATGTACTAAGTTAAAATCAAAAGTTCGTTGTGAAGTAGTGGCGTGGGAGAATCCAATAACCAATATCATCCTGTGGGTGTCGTAAGAGGCGACTCCGTGGACTGTGTACTAAATGATACAGGAGCTGATGAGCACTCTTTATTATAACAAAAACTACTGGTACTAACACGTAGTACGTCCATGTCTATTCTCATGGACTTTTGATAGGCTGCTTCTTTCTGACACCTCTTAACACACTCACGAAACTATATGGGGTAGAGGATTCTTTTACAGTATGTTCATGATAACAATATGTTAGAATGTTTTTAAAAGCGATAGATTACAAGATAACATATTCGCTGTTTTAAGAGACGCTTATTCCAAAGCTTTTTTACCTAATCAATTTAAATTTTAAGTAAAGGTACTCTAAGTTCTTTTGTTTTATTAAATATATTGAAGGTTAAGTAAGTTTCTGTATCATTACACGCAAGTGATAGAATTATACACTACGAAGGACAACATCCGTATTAATGTAACGCATATTCTTTGAAATAATAGTTTGTTTTTGTCTCGAGACGTCATTAATACATGTCATTATTTGAAAATTTAAAAAAAATACCAATTTTAATAACCATGACGTAAAGCCTTGTCGGAATTACACATTACAAATATTTATTATCCACCATATGACATTATGACATTAGTTATCCTGTAGTTGTTTTGAAGAAGGTTCTGCTTAAAGCTTTTTCTTTTGCCTAGAGTGAATTCAGAATATTTAGGTGTGGGGGCGCTGTCATCGCGCCACAAGCGAAACACACCGAAGCCTAAATCGCGCTATCAAAAGTTCCGAATCATAAACAGTATATATAGAACATCTCCGAACTATCCCACGAAGTGTTGGCCGCTCCCCGGGCAGAACACCTTGCCCGGCGGGAGATCTCCCCTTTTTCTTCTACGGCCACAGTGGTGACCACCCGACGTGATACACGGTGTGCTGAACACGCAACCACTACCTTCGGAAATTACAACTTCAAGCCTTCGTCATTATCCTCAAGAACCCCTACCATTCACTACTGAGAATCGTCTTCTGCAGTCTTCAGTTCCTGCAAGCCAGTCCAACTTGTCTTCATCTCGACTCACCGCAGATTTATAAGGCAGACTTCTGGCACTTGCTCCGGCACATCATTCTCACCGGCATCACTTGCCAGTGCGTAGTACGGCATGCATTACACACCGGCATATCATTCGCACCGGTGTCACTTGCCCTTACGCACACAGCATGCATTCCCCACCGGCATTAAGGACGCACCGGCAATCGGACTGCACTATCGACCTCCGGTCTGAGCAGGGGGGTGATGTGGCGGCGCTGTCATCGCGCCGCAAGCGAAACACACCGAAGCCTAAATCACGCTATTAAAATTCCGAATCATAAACAGTGTATATAGAACATCTCCAAACTATCACATGGAGTGTCGGCCGCTCCCCGGGTTGAACACCTTGCCCGGCGGGAGATCTCCCCTTTTCCTTCCACGGCCCCAAAGGTTAAAAGTTATCAAAATGCTCCAAATGATTAATAAAAGTTCTTTCTAGTTCGTAGAGCCAAAGACTGTTGGCAAAACAATTTTTTTATGCACAAGTAAGGGTGAAGAACGGGCTCACAACCTATGAAGCACTTTCTGATGGTACAGAGATCAGAGCCTTCAATTTATAGTAGTTTCTGGGCCATATTTGGACCTCACGTCTTACGAGTGGTGTATCAAAAATGAGATTTATTTAAAATTAATTTGTAAAAAATTAATCTTCTAAAATGTAATTAAAACACAGAACTTAAACTGTAATTTTAAATACGAATTACACATAATACATATTAAATAAAGAAATTATAATAATACAAAGAAAAAAATATAGTTAATTGGTTATGTTTTTCCTGTCCTCCTTTAGCCCATTTGCTATTGTTCCGGTATTTCTTTCCCCATTCCTTGAAGCCAACGATAGCGAGACTTGCTCCGTAGAATTCTATTGCAGTATACATTATATACTTACAGTAATGTGTCAGTGTCTGTGGTCTTTCATGAGAATGTCTATGGCACCTATTTTAACCGCTGCAATATAGGTTTATAATATAATAAAATATTCTACCATAAGTTAGGACTTCTAACTTTAACAACTAGGAATACGGAAATTTTCCAAACAGATAAAAGAAAAGCCAGAAGTAAGAATCTATCATATTATTTTTATATATTACAATGTATGTTTGGTTTTTCAGGGAATATGCCCCGGCAACCGGTTGCGGATCGTGGCAGGCGTGTTCGATGCCAGCACGGCTATGCATCGGCGACGCACTCGCACTCCTGCACCCGTTGCCCACCAGCCCATGCCTGCGCAGCAGTCACCCGCTTTTACAAAAGTATGTTAACATAGTTAAAGCTTGTCGAGTAATATGTTAGAACTGTTAAATGACTTTACGTTTTTACCAAAAAAAAAAAAACACAAACTGAGAACTTAAAAAAAATCTAGACGATGGTACTAGCCATTTTCCCCCAAACAATTGGTAAATGATCGAAGATGATAAAAAATGTCATTAAGAATTTAGAGCAGTTTTTAAGCGCTTGGTAAAACTAGCAGTGGTTTTATCATCATGTTAAAGTACTTTGAATTCTGTGGAATAACTTTTTTAAAGAGATTTTTTCATTCTAGATCGAAGAATGTTCTCATTACGACGTGCCCCGTGCACCTCTTCCCGTCACTCGGGGTACATACGACTGTCCCCGACCCATTGGCGATTGGTACGACGCGCCACGAGCACCTCGACCCGCCAGCGCCGATTCGGCGTGCAGTGGCACGGGCTCACTAACCTCAGCCCCCTCCAGCGCTTCCGCGAATTCTGCAGGCTCGGCGCATTCCACCGCTTCTGCTGCGTCCGCCGCCTCTGCCTCTAGTACGTACGACGTGCCACGTTCCCGAGCTCTACCTCTACCGTGCGACGCGGCATTAGAAGCCTTGGAGAGATTACAGGTGTGTGTTTACTGCTCATAACTATATTATTGCCACTTTTCGGTCAATGCGACTTGCTAAATACAAAATTAAGGAAGGATAATGTACACACTTTTATCTTTTATTTAAATTATATAAAGCATTACTTATACTCACCAAAATTAATTTGTGCCTAATGCATGTTTTTTGTCATGACACGTTATATCACGCCATAGTGAAATAATAACATAGAAATAAAAGTGCTCCGTCGACCAAGCATATCACACTACCTAAACACCAAGCTCACGGTGTTATACTGCGTAATGCTTAAATGACACAAGAGTAGTTCGTGATATTTATTACTGACGCATGCCCATTTTATATCATTCATGTCTATTTGCCCCATATCATGTTATGGGTTTCGGAAGAGGCGACAAAGAGAAAGAGAAACGAAACCAGGAGCACAGTTAACAGGAGATTAGTCACAGCATCTTCCCGATAACAACTCAAAATAATAAAAAATCTGCCGTTGCTAACAGCAACGTTGACTTTTAATAGGCTGTAATAAATAAATGAACACTTATCTACTTTTCGTCGTCGAAATATTTAGACATGCAGATTTCCATCTGATGTTGAGTATTAACTAGCCTTTTAGCTACATCGTCAAAATATTGCCTTTTTATAAATAAGATTGACAAAGGAGCACACAGTTCACCTGATGATAAGTGGATGCTGTGGCCCATAGACATCTACATTTATCCTCGATTAAGAATCAAAACGCAGATGCGTTGTCACCCCTGAAGACTAAGATGGAATGCCTCGTTTTCAGTAAAAAGGTATCCCCGGATATCTAGACTCACAATACGAAACACGGTAGTGTTAAGCTGCTATTTTACGCTGGTATTCTGTGAGAGCGTGGTCCTTCCCCATTCGTGCTACCATAATATAGCTACAGCGTGTCTCTACCACGTACTAAAAACGTGGCTCTACCTGCTGCCTGTTTTCTATTCTTTAACATTAAATAACTATAAATTAAGTTTACAATTATTCATTTGCAACTGTATAATCTATTAATCTAATGCTTCCATCTGCAATCTGTCACTGCAAATCTAGTTAACGTATGTAAAGTACATTGCGCAATAAATTCCAGAGAAAGATAAGAATTTAATGTTAATATTTCCATATCTCCGGCTCCGCATAAGCTAGCTTATTTAGAACCGGAGATAGGAAGCTCATATTTATACGTTGAATAAAATAAATAACGTTCAAAATTGCGTTTTGCGGTCAAAATATCCACCGCAGAGCAGTGACCGTAAATTATTATTGCTATTAGTGCTATGTTAAGACACGGTCCCGTTTTAGACGTGACTCACGGATGCAATACGGAGTACTGTAGTCGCTGCGGTTAAAGTTGTGTTTTGTTTCTTCTAGAATTTGACACATCACGTTTGTAAATCCTACAAGGTTAGGTTCACGGTATATATTATTGAGTATTGGAAATTTATGACCTTAGGGTCTTCACCTTCTACAGTTGTTTGTCGCAGTGGTGACGTATATCTTTATAAATAGCCATACATAATATAGTAAGTAGTATTATAATGCCATAAGTGCTAGGAAAGCCAACTCCCGTACCGTACGTAAGTATTAAATAGCAATAAAGCCGCAGAAGGGCAGGAGTAAATTTTACAGTACGCGAGCAACTGATTCGATCAGTGCCGGTACCAATGATATTGTTTTGAAATTTTAAGTGCTGATTTACCAGAACCTTGGCAGTAAAGGAAAACTATACAATGGTTGGTTCAGTTTTAAGAAAAGTAATCGAGTTTAGCATCATCTACAGTAATTCAGAAAATTCCTTTAAAGTAAAATGTAGAGACTTGTTTCTACATCTTACCTACAATTTTGACATTAAATGTTTTGTATAGAATTTTACTAGCCTTAAAACTGTGGCGGCACTGTCGTTACGCCACAAGCGAACCCCACCAATGCCTAAATCACGCTATCAAAGTTCTGAAGTACAGCGGGTATATACAGAACAGCTCCGAAATATCACATGGAGCATAGGCCGCTCCCCGAGCTGAACACCTTTTCCGGCGGGAGATCTCCTTTTCTCATTTCACGGCTAAATTGGTGACCCCGACGAGATCTGAACACGCAACCAACAACTTTCGGAAACAACTTCTTGAGGCTTCGTTATTATCCTCAAGAACCCCTACAATTCACTCATGAGAATCGTTTTCTGCAGTTTTCAGTGCCTGCAAGCCAGTCCAACTTGTTTTTATCTCGTCTCATCGCAGATTTATAAGGCAGACTTCTGGCACTTGCTCTGGCCCATGGTTTCACCGGCGTCACTTGCCTTTATGCACACATCATGCATTCCCCACTGGCCTTAAGGACGCACCGGCAATTCGACTGCACTATCGACCTGCAGTCTGAGCAAGTTGTTGATGTCGCAGGGCTGTCGTCGCGCCATAAGCGAAGCACACCGAATGCTATCAAATATATATAAAAAAAAACACATGCTATCAAAGCTCCGAAGTAAAGCGAGTCTATATCAAACAGCTCCGATTTATTACATGGAGCATTCGCCGCTCTCGGGCTGAGCACCTTGCCCGGCGGTGAGATCTCCCCTTTTCCTTTCACGGCCAAAAAATTATTTGTGTCATAATTTCATTATACGGTTAATAAGGAACTAATAAGGAATGGTTCAAAAATTCTGATTTTTCTCTCTGTTACTCACGTCGAAGTAGAGTTCACTGATGCACATGGGTCTTTTAGATAGAAGAAAAGGTATTTGTCGTAATCGTCTTGATTATCCTTCTTGCTGAGGCAATAAGAAAAGAACACTGAAACTACATACAATCGGGTCGAGATAATATCCGGTGTTCATGGACGAACAGGTAGTTTCTCGGACAATCGGTCGCGTCCTGACTGAAGTAGTACCAATTATAATTTGGTCAGTCGCCAGCGATCTATACGAGATAGTTTTTACTTGACCAGATCAAAGGACTTAGGTCAGGCAAACCACGCCAGGCTACGCTCCCAAAACTAGAATTCATTTTTAAGGTATCCTCTTAACCCTTCAAGCGCCATAAAAATCCCATGCAGTCGCATGCACCCGGCAAATCCCGAGCGGTCGCATGCGACCGCACGCACCCACAACACTTAAAACCATTAAAACTTTAACTTTAAGACTTTTTTAAGATGAAGTTTAGCATTATAAAAGCTATACAAAATTTTCTATCTTGTGGTCTGAACAAAAGTCAGGTTTTACTTCATTACAAAAAGATTTTATTGTTTTTGATAACAAAAAAAAACATACCAAGCAAATGTCGGTAGCGTGAAAATCACAATTACTTCAATATATATTACTCGAAATTATTTACGTAAAAAGATAAATCATATTCACATAAAAACTTTCATTACAATATTTTATAATAAAACACTATACTAAAACACTAATAAAACACTGGAAAAATCCAAAAATCAACATTTCATTTCAAATTACACATTCACGCGAAAATGGTGTACGAAATAAACGTAGATTATAAATAGATATTCATAGGATAATAGATTTTTATTGCACTAGAGCTAGAGGATAGAGCATTTCATAATGATTATATAATGCCAAACTTTTCCATTAGAAAAGTATTCTCTATATATGTTTTTATGGGTTAAAGTGCATGAGACCGCTAGGGGTTTGAGAGGTTAAAGAAGTAGTATGTTTTAGTTTGTATTCTAATATGTGTGTTGTGTTGGTGCAGGAGGAGGCGTCGGCGGCGGTGTCGCGGTTGCTGTCGCACGTGACGCCGGGCTGGCGGCGGCGCGGCGCGCTGCGGGCGCGCGTGCTGGACGTGCGCGTGGCCGGCGCCCGCCTGCGCGCCGCGCTGCACGACCTCGCCGTCTTCGCGGACGCCACGCTCGCCAACGCACACGATGCACAAGACAAAGGTAACGTACAATTTACAGCTTTCATGTTTGGAATGTAACCTCTTTTTCTAAAATGTAACGTTTTCCCTTCTCCGACTTCAAGTACCGTTGTCGGTACCGTTACCAAAGTTTCCTATAGGACATGGAATTTCATACTAGATTACTTCATAAGGAAACCCGCTATGTAATCTGCTGTTGTCCATCTCCTGATTTGATTCCGCCTGCCGCCTCTTACAAGACCCACAACACGAACTGTAATAGTGGATATTCTTACGCCACCATACGCTAACTGTACTGCTAAATAGCATAATACAGTAATGTTTATTCGTAACTAGGCAATCAAAAATCTTCAAAAGCATTAAATCGTTTGAGGAAAGCCGCTTTAAAACTTTAGACGTAATACGCCAAGACAAAACAATATACCTACGCTTAGTACGCAGTTGAGTTGCAAGTGTAACAACTCAACTGGCCAACTCCACTGCCGCGCATGTCGCCATCATCGAAATCGATGAAGAGGATTATATACAAAGAAAACGGATTGTCACGGAGAGTAAACGATTCTTTAATATAGTCACATTCATGAGATAATCTAATCTGCGGCCGGCAGGTATCGCAGTAAAGCTGCGTCCGCTGGTGAAGGCGCTAAAGGACGCGGAGCGCATCACGCACGAAGCGACGAGTGCGCTAGATGCGGGCGACTGGGCGCCCGAGCGCCTGGAGCGCGATCGCGAGCCTACCGACGGCTCACAGGTAAACCTCACCATAGCAATAAAAAATATGTATTTTCGAAATTTTATAATTTTTTAAATGTTGATTTCTATATCTAAAAATGCATTATATATAATACAACTTAAGAATTTTTTAATCTGTGCCTTAAACGTCCGAAAAGCTATGTGCCATATTAGATTCCATCGTGACGCCACCTCTATGGTAAACAAACGAATGTTCTGTGTGTGTAAAAGGATTGTCAAAGACCCCGCATTACCGATACTCGTGTGAGTTAGAGGAAATAAAGCTACATACTTAAACATAATTTGCAAATATTTTTTTAATTAAATAAAAAATATGGTCGTGTCTGAAAAAAATATTTCTATACGCTTGAATACCGATTCTGATAACGCAGTTAACGGGAACTACAGGGTTTTTGTTATATGTTGTATAACTACTATTATAACACCGCCTAATTACGTTTACAAAAATTGACCATAAATAAGTTTGATAAAATAATTACATCAATAACAATGATATCTTCTACTTAAGCTTGCATAAATTGACAGAAAATTCGATTTAAAAAACTCATCAAGGTATTAAATATGCAACAATAAGGATTTCATTGATAAATACATAATGTTGTTTTCATTAAAGTTGCCAACAAATATATTTCATAGCCTAAAATATTTATATTATTTATAATTATTTCAGGACGCTCTCGACCAGCTGGTGGCCTGCGCGCGCTCACTCACTGAAGACGTGCGCCGCGCCGCTTCATTCATTCACGGGAATGCGTCGCTGCTATTTAGGTTTGTTAAATTTTTTTCTATATTCTATATCATTGTAATAAACGAGCTTATAGTAAACCTAGTGGCTGCTACAACTCATGAATATATGTAATCAACTAACAAAAATAAAGACAGCTGTAATTATACTTGCTCTTATTACCCTTCTAATTGGAATTCAAATTATGAATTCCGACTCTGAATTCAAAGAGGCATTCCGGATGTATGAGGCCTGCCTTATAGTACTTTTTAACTAATTTTAGTGCCGTTTTCGCAAAATATATCTAATGTCTATTGTGGTGACTTACTACTTATGAGTTACAAGTTGAATTCAAATTACGGCCATGCTTATGTTTCACTCATTTTTTTTTTGATAGAATTGTTTATCTGAACGCGAATACACTACATAACTAAATTTAACAATCGATAATATCCATAAAAAGAAAGTATCACGAAAATGTATGGCAGTGCAACGCTTATAAATATATTTTTCATGTAGTAATAAAAAAAGAACTTGTTCAATACATTTTTCTAACTTATAAGTATGTATATAATGTTCGATTGGACTCAACACTGAATTTATCTCATAAGCCGTAACTAAATTCTAGTGCTCCAATAAAATTATCATAATATGATGCTCCAGATGTACCGTACACGACGACAATATGCAGGAGCTCACTTTTCTTAATCTACTCGCATTCGACGTCGATTAATGTTTATGCAATAAAAATTAGACCTGTTATCTTTTTTTGTATCTTAAAATTAAGGACCATTACCGAAAGAAACTAGAAATTATATACAAAAGCGCTGACGGGCGGAAAGAAATTCAGAGGAAACACTTATGGACGCTTAGAGGGTAGTTTGTCAATAAGCATGTATATTTTTTATTTAACTGGCTTTACGGCTCTGGGTACTAGCCCTTCTGAGCCTATAATTTCTTTCAGAATCTTCATTTTATATATTTTTTCTTCACAATATGCTGATGCGTCATATTGCGAAGTTTTTGGGAGATTTTGACGACAGCTCAACCCAGCGGACTGTTGATGACGACAACCACTCAAGTTCATCGCCTAAGCGATCAAATTAACTTGAGGTTTATATCAACATCAAAGCACTTGTTTCGTCGTTTACTCTCATAGTTCACACGCGCAGACACTTGATTAACAATCACATCACTTTTACGAATATAAATCCACTTCAAGCCATTATTCAAGCGAAAAAACATGAGCGACAGTCCGTCATCGGCCAAATTCCCAACAAAACTCAAAATAAACATGATTATATAGTTAACACAGAGTAGTGAGCGTTGGTATAGTAGAGGTATAAGAGTCCACCACCCCATATCATTCCTGGGATGTCATAAGAGACGACAGAGGGAACCTGAAACAGGTGCTGAGCTGCAGCATTTGACTGATAACGCAAAATAAAGTAATGCGATTGCCAACCCGACTGTCAAGTGCGAAGCCTACAGTAGTAGACTTTGATAAGACTGTAACGACAATATTGATGTTAATGAGCGTCGCTATACGGTCGCAGGCGGTCGGCGGCTGGGCACGAATGGACGGAGGAGTACGACTACGTGCGGCTGGAGTCACGCGCGGCGACGGGGCGTCGCAATGCGGAGATCCGCGCCGCGCTGCCCGACAAACTACGTGCCTCCTTCGACGCGCTCGTGCGCGACGCTGACCACGCCGGGGAGGTGCGTATCACACATTTTTTGTCTTCTTTCCATCGTTTTTTTTTTAAATTGTGGTAATGGCTACAAGGCCTTTATCCATAAAGATTACATATTCTAAAATTGTTTTATGTGTACACATTTTAGTTAGTATAATTAAATATAACAAATTTCTTCACAATACATTAATTCCGCACGTTGCGAAGGTTCTTAAAGAGGTTTTGACTTCAGCTTAAGCCAACTAAGATAACGTCAGTATACCAAGCTCTCAAAGCACTTAAGCGGACATAATATTTTGAGATTTTATCACCGTCGAAGCACTTGTTTCTTCTAATAGTAGTATCAAAATCTACTTTAAAGCTTTGTTTAAACGATAAAACAGAAGCAGCAAAATCCGCCGGTGATCAACATCCCGCCAAAATTTCTCTTCATCATAAATAAATACATACTTTTACGTCAATCAACTACTCTCTAGTTCCCTATAAGGAATGGAAGGCCAATCTCTGACTAGCCTTCCATTCCTAGCCAATTTAGTCAATAAACTCCCGTCTATGGTATCCCTTGCCAGGCTCTGAAACTTATTCATCAACTCGTAAAAAGCCAATGCTGCATATTCAGCATTGGATTTTGACGACTTACGTTTGCAACGTTATAGGATTTGCCAAGCACCAGGCATTGTCAATTGCAGTCATAGATTTAGTCATTTCAATTCTGGGCGTCTCGCACTGTTAATGCTGTTACCCGACACCGGCCTGATATATCTTTATATATAAAAATCTATTTCTGTCCGTTTTTCTCGCTAAACTCAAAAACGGATCGACTAACTTTGATGTAATTTTTGTGTATGTTTGAATGGGCCCCTAGACGGTTTAGATTCACATTTAGACTCGGTAGGTGTGCGAAGCCGGGGTAGATCGCTAGTTGCTATCGCTAGATAATATTATATATAACATCGATGGAACGAATATCTTTATCTTGTTAGCCTATTTGGCTTTTACAGCTTCATCTGATACAGTTTAAAAAAGGGAAAGGCAATGATGATGATGATGATCACGTATTGTTATCAATCATGTCACCTCTGTGGGGGTTTTTGAGCTATCTAACCGCTGTCCGAAAGGGTGCGGCCCCCGCCTCTGAATGTTTAGCTTGTGGCCGTCGATGCTCTGGGCGGTAAGAACCGCCCAGAAACGCGTCATGCTGCCTACAGGTGTAACGTGCCCCGTCGCTTATCCTATGTGAGTTTGTCCCATTTGGTGTGGATGTAGTATACCTGCTTTCGATATAATCAAAGTAGTCATGAAAATAAATATTGATTAAAATTTATATCGGTAGTACAAATACACGTTGATAACGTCCTCTATTAAATAGGATTACTTGCTACACTTTTAAGTAAGAAGTTTCTTGACATTAAGTTTATGAATAAACCCATACTGTCTAATTTCTTTACAAAGTCGGTGACATTACACCACACTCAATAGAAAAATGTACTTTACGCGGCAAATTTACATATTTCCTTATATAGTATATATGTCACCTTAATTGACACACAGCACCGTCCATAAATTTGCGCAAATTTTAGTTAACCTTTATGTTAGTGTTATGATGATTGTTTCGATTCAGGTTAGCGCAGTTGCGGCGGCAACTGTACTCCCGCCAGATGACCGACAACTGGCAGCATTCTACGCAGCACAAACTGCTACGTACGGCGCCCACTTGGCCACGGCGGTGGAGGCCTTCCTTAGAACCATCGAAATGGGGCAGCCGCCCGATGTGTTCCTTGCTCACGGAAAATTTGTTGTATTAAGCGCACATAGGATAGTTCACGTTGGAGATACAGTGCACAGGTGAGTAGATTAAAATTTTATAGTGATTTTTAGTAAAAATTAACTTCATGTTTTATAAAGTAAAAGTAATAGTTGTTTATGGCCAAGTACAGAATCCTTATACTTATGCGCTATTTCGCACCGTTGACGCTGTCTACCGTCGTCGATCTGGATATTTGGCATCTGAGTACAAAGAGATGGTTATACCACCATTATTACTTCATAAGTGCTCATAGATCACAAAGATCTAGGTAGTGCCGTAAGTCGCCACTGACGGCATAGACAGCATTATTATTGCTTTTTCGCAAATAAATAAAAAGTATTTATTTGCCACACAAAAGTACAAAATTCAAATTTAAATAGAGAGCTTAATAATTAGTTGTGACAAAACGGTCTGTGACTCAGTTGTAACGGGAGACCCATTACTCCTGCTATTCTGCCACAGCCTTTGCTCATTAATTCTTACAGGGTCTTAGGCAATTGATGAAACACACGTATCAACAATAAAAATCGTTTCTAATGATTATCGTATCTATTCACAGGAGCGCCCAACACGCCAGCTTAAAGTCCAAAGCGTTGCGCTGTTCAGACGCGTTGTCGGACGCGCTGGCCGTGACGGTCGCGAAAACGAAGGCGGCCGCGCAGCAGTTCCCGTGCGCGAGCGCTGTAGCGGAGATGGCGGAGGCGGCGCGGACGCTGGCGGCGCGCGCGCACGAGCTGCGGCGAGCGCTCGTGCGCGCCGCCGAGCCGCCGCCCGCGCGCTCCGCCAGCCCTACCACGCCCGTGCCCGCCTCCGCCCCCGCCACTCCGCTCACACCCCTCGCCTCCGCGCTGCCCGCACTCCACATATAGAGCGCAATCATCGACTCTTTGAAATAAATATACCTATCGGTTGGCGGTGTTCCGCCTCCGCCCCCGCCACGCCGCTCACTGGCCTGCCCCTCCGAGAGCAATCATCGACTCGTTGAAATAAACATATCCGTTGGCGGTGTCAAGTGTCTAATGAAGCTACTGTTAAAAGCCTCAACTAAAAAAACAACGCCGAAACTAAACTCGACTCGCTGATATTATTCGGCCGCTGGTATTTACTTACGATCATCTCGACTGCAGGGTTGGATTCGTGAGGGCAGTGCAGTGATATTACGTGAGTCAGAGTATACAAGCACTACGGTTTAGGGTTAGTAAAGATGACTTTAAAGCCAGGACTTTAGACGTTGAAAATAATTTCGAAATTTCAAATTCAACGCTTAATACGCATCGGTTAAATGACACATTTGTGAGTTAAACAAATGTGTCGTTTACGTTATGTTAACAAAACAAATATTAATGTAATCCTCGATTGAGTAATTAATGCGAAGTTTGCGCTTCGCTTTTGCTAGTGATTGTTAAAGATGCGACTGGAACGTAATAAATTTAATTGTACATAAATGTTTCATGTCCGCTAGCTGGATAACATATTATAAGCCGCAATCGAGCATTACAGCCTGCTAGCTTGGAGGCCTGAAGATAGTTAACATAACTATAAAAACGACCCATGGTTATATCTATAGTAGCCGTAATGAGTGTAACTTGAGGTGCAACGTTTCAGCTGCAAATACATATCTAAATAATACCTACCTTATTTGTAAAGACAGCAAATAGGAAACTTCTATAAAATGAGATAAATTGTACTTACTTAATTTAAGAAAAACGACTACGGTGATATTTCTAAAACATTAACAAAATTTTTACATTAATTTTGTTTTGTGTGGACATGGCATCGACCTTAACGGAACTGTAGAAGAAGTATTGATTGCCTTAAGTGTCTCATGTGAGAAGGAATATAACCAAAGAAAACTGCAATAGGACATACAATACCAACACAACGTAGACTGCCAATAACGACAAATACGCTAAGTAACAGAGTTTCTATTATATAAATATTAGAAATAAATATACAATATAAAACAAGGCTGCCATTATTTAATTTGTAAAGGAGTTTGCTGCGTAAGGCGAGACTTAAATTGCTGGATGCTCATTTGCCGTAGAGAGTTGAGTTGTCCGTCCAGTTTTATACAATTTTGCAAAAGTATGGTATATGTATGTAGTTTTGTAATTTGGATGCATGCTTTAATTGCTCTCTAATGAAATCTTACCACGGAAAAACGGTACCTACCTACCTAACTTAGCTCTTGTAGAAATAACCATTTGAATTTTCTTTCATGTACGATATCCGTATCTATAAATTTATGGATATCTAAAAATTATAAGCGACAAACACAACTCATTTCAATTCAATTCATCTTAATGTGATATCCATATTCTACTAACTGTAACGCTTTGCTATATGTATTAACAAACGTTATAACGACTAAGAAGTGGGACTTTAACCTTCTTGTTCATGTACAGAATTCACATCTATGTTATTGGCGCCAAAAGTCAAACTCACAACAGGACTGCCAGTGAATGTGTTTAGTATACACCGCCAGATCTCTAAAATTATCGAGAAGTTTATCACAAAAATAAAGCTACAAAATATCCAAATATACACATTTTAAATTTAAAATACCAACTGACAGTCCTGTCCAAAATTGGAAAAAATCCTACCCGATATGACATTTGCTATAAAGTATTTCTACCGCCTAATAATTGTTCTAGTAAGACATTTTATTGTTCAATTCAAGGTAAATGTATCGTGTTACGGCAACGTTGTTAAGGTAGTATAGTTAATACAGTAAAACATTACTGTAATAAAACAATAATTTATAGTTGTAACTTCTTCATATTTTTTACGCACAAATTATTTTGTTTTATAATGTTTTACTAACTGGTTGTTTAATGAATATTATATTAAAGGTATCATGACGTGTACAACGAGTATCTATTCTAAATATTTTAACGACAAGGTTTTTGAAAATATGTACCCGATCGTCGGTCAATTCAGTGAGATTTTTAAACTATTTTAAGATTGTTCCCCAGCTCTGTTTAAAAATTTGGGGTAGAAAAAAGGCTTTGAATGTTAAGTAAGCGATATGAAAAAATTATGCTCAATTGTTTATTTAAACCAACCCATGTCCAGACTATTAAGAACATTCAGTTTCTTTGCTTATCAAACCAGAACAATAATACGTACCAAGATAAGGTTCACACGGCAATATACTATTCCTTTTTAATCTTATCGAATTAGTGGGGATACACCGAGTACAGAATAATGAATACGATGTTTACTAACTACTCACCGGACTTGTCAAACAAATCGAATCAGTTAAGATCGAATCAGTCAGTATTCGTTTATGATGACACTTTTTTATAGAAAAACAACCGAGGAAACTTTCATTTTAGGATATCATGTAGTATCGATTTAATGAATTTATTTGTAATAAAGATATTAATTAATTTGCAACCTTCTGCTAACTAAATACAATGATGTGTCTTACCTGGATTGAAGAGCACCTCCCGTACTCCCTCAATTGCGTGCACCAATCCCGTCACCACTAATCCCAGCACCACTACTCCCAACACCAATATTCCAGGAAAGACACACCATCGACGATAATACGACACGTGTTTCGCCTCTACACGAGGCATCCTCAGGTGATCTTAGCGGTCAGCCGCCGTAGAGTCTACATCACCTGGGATGCCTCGTGTAGAAACACGTGTCGTATTATCGTCAATGGTGTGTCTTTCCTGGAATATTGGTGTTGTGAGTAGTGGTGTCGGGAGTAGTGGTGTTGGGAGTAGTGGTACTGGGATTAGTGGTGACGGGATTGGTGCAAGCAATTGAGGGAGGGCGAGAGGTGCTCTTCAATCCAGATAAGACACATCATTGTACATATTTAGTTAGCGAAAGGTTGCAAATTAATTAATATGTTTATTAAATGGATTTCCGCAAAGTAACGCCTGATTCTATCAATGATTTTATTTGTGTAAAAGAAAAGCGAAATCTTACATTCCATCAATACAGAATCAAATAACTTGCCGTGAATTGCCGTGTGAATACAGCCTAAGAGTTCCAATGTATTTAGATTTAAAATTGATAGCAAAAATCTTCAATTTATTCTGATTCCTATTCCATCAGAATCACTAACACCATGTTCCATAATACACATGATGTATTTTAACGTAAGGTTTTATAGATTATAAGATCTCAGTGTAAAAACATGTTGTATATTAGCAATGTATAATATATTCTTAGATGCTGTAGTGAACAAGTAGGTAGGCATAGATGAAATTGTACAAATGCATATTATTAAAAATACATAATTTTATTATAATGAAAATTATAATTTAATCATCTTATAAAACGCAATCAAATAAAATATACAAAGTTTTCGTATTTACTCTGTTGTATGTTATTTTCCGATGTCTATCTGCATTTTACATTTAGAACATCATACCCATAATAATATATAGAACATATAAAAAAATGATCATGATGATCTTATATGTTGTGGTGACCAGGATTAAGAAAGGAATGCTTCGGTAGTTTGGTCATGTAGAAAGAATGAACGAGGAAAGAGTGACAAAGCAAATTCATATTGCAGATGTGAACGGCAGAGTCGGGAAGGGACGCCCAAGACGAAGGTTTATCAACCAAATTGTCGATATTTTGAAAATGGGCCACATTAGGAGTACTCTTAACCGACGAGCGTGTATGGGTAGATATATGGATGTAAAGAAGGCGAGAGAGATGTGTCAGGATCGTGCCAAATGGAAGTGTTTATGTATAAAAAGAAATTCTACTTAAAACTTGACCGCAAGCGGATCAGCTTTTGACTTTTGTCCCATGGACTTTTCATGGTCTGACATTGATCGCTCCTTAGTATTGACCGTGTAGTGGCAGTGTAAGAAAATCCACTACCTTGTACCCATAGATGTCGTAGCGACGGAAGGTAACAAGCCATAAGAGCGTCCGTCTGTCTACCCGTCTGTCAGTAGCATCTTACTAATATTAACAAGAAAATAAAAATAATGTATTTATAACATCCCCGCCAAGCGTGGCAACTATGGCAACCATCCCTCTTATGAGGCAATCTATGCAGAGGCCCATGGTTAGCGGTGGACTTTGATAGGCTGTTACGAATGATGAATGAATAGTAATCGTCGTCACGCTTGGCGATACTCTAGCTTCTTCCCGTCATCAGTCAACGGGGATCCATGGGTGGGATCATTGGGGCCATGACCCCCTCCCGCCGGGCTGGGTATAAGTAGATCGCTGATTATTTTTCTTAACTCATTAACTTTAATTAAAGAAATGAAATGCTTACGATACGCATGGATTGTGATAAAGCAGATAAACAATACATGCGATATGGAGGTATTGTTATACCTTCAAAAATCGTTGAAAATCTCTGTATCTAATTTGACATAGATTTCCCACTGTGTGTGTAGTGGTACCGACAGCTGCTCGGTTATGGCTTCAGATACAAAGGGTGCAGTACAAGAGTTGTCAAAAAAGCTGCACATGCCAAACCGAGAACTTTTCCGAGAAATCAGCCAACATGGAACCTTCTTGATTTTTAGACTTGGTTAAAAATTAATAGTACTTAAGAGCATGTATATCTGCTATTATAATTTCTATGTTGTTCGCAAATTTGAATTTGAAAAAATAATGAGTGAAGGAATATATATGTTACCGACCAAACTCAATTTCAGACCAAATTAGTTTGTCCTAGGCCAAATCGGTTTATCCTACGCGTGTAGCTAGCTATATGTGAAACATCGATGCTTCACATATAACTGACGTGAAGCACCGACGCTTCGGAAAATCTGCAGTCTGTGAACATGTTCACGATTGCCCCCACCATTACATCAGATTTGATAAACCACAAATCCTCGCAAAAATTTCTATTCCTACCATGGATGATACGCGAGGCTATTAAAATTAAAAGTCGGAAATTAAAAATAAGTTAAAATAAATTTATTAAACGCGATAAAATCCGTCTATATAGATTTATTCAATGTGTAGTGTTTAGTCCCGTCCCTAGTTTAGTATGTCGAGCGCTTAGTCCCCCGGACCGAAAGGGTGGCGAGTGCTATGCATAGACTGCTGCAAATCTGCTTTGACCATAGCTAAGCAACGAGGGCCGGTCTTCCTTAAGTTTGGATTTATTTTAGCTATTGTACAATTTGCGGGAGGTTACTACGTTAATTAATAAAAAAATATTTACCCGGGCTCGATCCCTGTCGGCACCAATGAAATTGTTAATTGCAATTTTAAGTGCTGATTTACCACGTGCTTGGCGGTGAAGGTAAACATCGGAAGGAAACCTGTGTCTTATAAAAAAATATTTCGAAGACATGTGAAGTTAGCCAATACGTATTGGGGCAGCACGGCGTACACTTCCTTGCCTCCCTCTCAAAAATTAGGGGAGGCCCGTGCCCAGCAGTGGGACGTCCCACTGAAAAACACCCACCCCCCCCAAATTTTTTTTTTTTATATAAAACATAAATTTTTTTTTTTTTTTTTTATAAAGGAAAAAAAAAAAAAAACAAAGAATTTTTTTTTTTTTTTTTTTTTTTTAAAAAAAAAACCCCCTTTTTTTTTTTTTTTTCTTTTTTTTAATTTTTTTTTTTTTGAAAATTTTTAAAAGGAATCGTTCGTAAACTTCTGAACAAACTACTTTCTGTGCGTTTTTGTTACGTGTTGTATATATATATATAACCGTTTTGACGTCAATACGTCTCTAAATTTGCTTCCATAGTAGAAGGCAATTAAGAAAACTGATGATGACGAAATCGGGAGATACATTGAATAAAATTACTTTTACGGATTTTATCGCATTTAATTCGCGTAATTTTAATACACGACGTTACGAGCGCTTTCCAACACCCATCGTCACGGTGAACTTACACAGCTTTAATTACGTTTAGGTGGTAGAGCCATGTTGCAACTACATTATAGTTGTAGCACGTATAGATCGGCTCGACCGGGGCTGGACTGGCGGCGTAATGTTTCTGTGTTTCGTATGGTTAGTGTAGAGAACCGGAGACCCTTTTTACTGGAAACGAGGCATTCCATCTCAGTCCTTAGAAGTGACAACCAATTGCATTTTGATTCTTAATTGAGGATAAATGTGGATGCCTATGGGCCACAGTATCCACTTACCATCATGCTGACTGTGTGCTCTTTTGTCACCCAATATTATAAAAATATTGCAATACCTAAGCAAATTGAACGCGATAAAATCCGTAAAAGTAGTTTTATTCGTGTAGTGTTCGCATAAATATAAGATATCGGGAAAAACAGTATGGATGTTGGAGCTACATAATATAATGCCATCAAAAACAAAACTTGTAAAAAAAAACAAGTCTCGCAACTCCGATCTTCTACCGTAAAAAGTTGTTAGATCAATGTAATACCAAGTCGGTTAATTTATTCAGTCCCCACTTAAGGGTCCTTCTGTTTTAAGTTATTACGTAATTAGCTAACCTAACAACATTTTATAGTGACCATATTAACGTTAAAAATCTTTTATGTTTTAAATAAATAGATTGACTTGGCCATCGCATGAAAACACAATGTATCTCACAAGTAATACATATATATTAAATTAGATTGCTTAGTGCGATTGCCAAGTCAATCTATATATTTAAAACATAAAAGATTTTTAACATTGATGCGGTCACTATAAAATGTTGTTAGTTAGCTAATTACGTAATAACTTAAAACAGAAGGACCCTTAAGTAGGGACTGAATAAATTAACCGAATTGGTATTACATGGATCTCACAACTTTTTACGGTAGAAGAACTGAGTTGCGAGACTTGGTTTTTTTACAAGTTATGTTTTTGATGGCATCTCATTTCTTTTTGTATATAAGATAGATAGTCTTAATTTTTTTCCCTTCCGGTACCTTCTACTTCTTGAATACCAACCACGTGCCTATCTACACCATTACACATATACAAGTACACTGATTCATTCACTGCAAATGTAACTTTGTAATTCGATATATTTATTATTTATTATCGGGATTACAAAGTTATTTATGCAGTTGATGTATCTAGAAAACTGGACCGAAATTAAAAAATATTTTAGTTTTTCCTTGATTTATACACTAAACACTAATTGTATTCTAAATTTGAAGCTTCTATGTCTGCTAGAAGTGCCTTAGAGTTTTGACGATCGGTCAGTCAGTGAGTGACAAAATTATGAAATTTTCACTAGTTATAATTCTTAAACTACTGACTCAAATTGAATGAAATTACCATATTTATACAATGCCTACTTGGATACTGAAACTTCAGGCTTCTAGTTTTATCCACTACGAAGTTATAGGGGGTCGAAAATGGCCTGAACTGCTTCGAGAAAAGTATAGTACGGCCGTGCCGCTTTTTTTGCTCGACTTGGCGGGTATCCCCCAGATATATCGATCATCTACATCCAAAATTTAATTATACCACTCGATGGGTAAAAGATGAAAGATTTCATTACATTAAGTGAGGACTGTGACGCATCGCGCGCGGCTGAAAGCCACCATTTTAAGAATGTTTCGTTATGTACAGGATAAAGAATGGGATTAGAAATGACGTCTCATGGAGCCCGTACCGTCAACATGCACAGTACCAATAGCGAAAACCCGCTAATAACGATATATCGTTATATTATTCGGTGGATTGAAAATTTTCTATTAATGGGAAAATATTTGAAAAGAATTGTATACTCAAGTAGGTACTTACATTAATTTTAAAATAATATTGATAGCCCGCTGTGGCTTCACCTGGGTAGGAACTATTAATATGGCGTTATTTAAACTTAAGCTAAACATTAAAGATCATTTATTTCGTCTTATCAACATTTATATTTTAATAAAATTTTCGGAAAAAATTTAGTTTAGATTACTCCTGGTATTATCCTCTGTATTCCTCTATTTGTCCGTCAAGTTTTATAACAATCAGTTCAGCCATTCCGAAGATAAGTTCTGACAGACAAAGGAAAATTTTAAAAATGGTTACATATGTCTCAATGATATGTAAATATTTTATACAAAAATATTAACAAACAAAATCAACAATAATTATGAAGAAAACTGTCAGAACGCACTCATTTCAATCCCATTCTTTAACCGCACGGATAGTACACGTATTCACGTAAAACACACGGTCGTGTTCACGACACAGCCACTCCCCGTTTTTGTTTTGTTACTCATAGTTTATCTGAACGAATTCAGCATCAAATCTTTTTAAATATACGTGAAAATCAAGAAATTGAAAAAGAGTTGACTTACTTGTAAATAATAACGTCATTTATCGTCTTTGTAAAACGTACATTTACAATTGACAAAGGTTACGCTTTAAAGCTTTTCAGCCCAGGCTATGACGTCATCGTTAGTAAGAGTTTTAAAGCTATAAAAAATAACCACAAGTAAAACTAAAAAATAAAATTGTTGTTTAACTGAAACGGAAACAAAAACTTTTTTATTCAATATAGATTATAAATATAGTTACTGAGTTTTCTTTTTCGGAAAAAAGCTACTGTCCAGGGAAGAACCAGCAAGAAGCTCAGCAGGACTTTTTAAAAAAAAGTACAAGTATGTTAATAACTGCACAATGCATGTATAATGTGTAATGCAAAAAATTTAAAAACGACGCGTAAAAATAAATTTACACACATAACTGATAACCGTCATCTTAAGTGCTGTTTCACACTGAAACTACATAGTCGAAAATGAAAACGTTATGCCCTTTTCAAGTATCACTTTTGAAGAATTAGAATATTCTTGAACCGTGTTTTTGATTTTATTTTTTATATCCTAATATTCTTTTTGTTCTTATTCTTAGTTGTGTCCGAACGTTATGAAGATTTTTCTTTTGTTAAACTAAGTTAGTTACATAGTTATTTAAGCATAGGTAATGATATTGTACAACAGCTGGATTTAGAGTTTATTTCCAAATGTATCAATTATAATTAGTTGTCAAAATGTTTTAAGCTAATATACATCTGTAAATAAATTTCAGAAGTAGCAAAACCTAGACCTCCATATCTATCCTGACTTCAAATATTTTGTGATTTCAAAGGACAGAGGGTCATAAATTTTACGATATCAACCTCTGGGTGTGGTCAATAGATGTTTTTTTTTCATTTAGGCTTGCGCCTTTAGTTTGTTACCTTTCAAGTATGATTATATTGTTCTAAATATTGTTGAGCTCTTGATTCTTCTAATGTGTATTGCAACGCTGGATGAGTGGATGGAAATTTCATCTCAGCCGCAACTGCTTCGAGTCGTGCGGCTCGTATTCGCAAAGATCTTTCCAGAGAACTCGCTTCACGGGCCGCAGCTTCTGCTTGCAACGCATCTTCCACTCTCTTTCTCTCCATCTGTATGACGTTCATAATTAGTCAGTTAAAATCTGTATAAAACATGTGTAAAAAACGTATAACAGTTAACACAAGCTTTAAGCGTTGTTATTCCTTTGGGTAGTTTGCGCAGGTTAATTTTTTAACCCACCACGATTGTGATCGGAATTCGGTAATTAAAATTTTCTTTCCGTAAATTAATATAACTATTTAATTCATACTAACGTGTGTTTAGTATACAGTTGGCTAAAACGCAATATTTTTTTGGTCACTATCGAAACACTTGTTTTATATAGATGTGTTGCATTTACAACAATTTTTTTAAAACATTGTTACGAAAAAAACACACACTCACACGCGCACGCACACACACACGCACGCTCACACACACGCACGCTCACACACACACACACGCACACGCACACGCACGCACGCACGCACGCACGAACGCGCGCACGCGCACACGCACACGCACACGCACCACGCACACGCACACGCACATGCACACGCACACACACACACACACACACACACACACACACACACACACACACACACACACACACACACACACACACACGTAGAGATTGCAAAATCCGGATTTTTTTTGAAATACGAATTTTTGAATGTTCTTATGACTAAAATCCGGATAATCCGGATTTTTCGAAGTTTTAGGATGATTTCATAAAACTGAAATAAAACAGCATAAATCATTTAAAATCTGCATTTATTCGGACACGACGGAATAAAATCAACCAAAATAAAAAAACTGTGTAGTTGCGGTTAAGAATATCCACTACCCCATATCTTACCGTGGGTGTCGTAAAAGGCCACAGAGGGAAGCAGGCAGAAGATGGGCAGCAGAATCTTCCTAACAAAAGTAACAAATAACTGCAGTTACCAACCCGCTCGCCAAGCGTGGCAACTACGGGAATATACTCCCCATGAGCAACGACGCAAATAGACGCCCCCCACCCCAGACCATGGTAACGGCAAGGCAAGGGGTGCTAAGAATCTCCAGTGGAGGTTCAGTTGCCACCTAAAACGACTCGACCTGATAAATAACAACGCACGCACCCTGAGGACTGACGAGAAGATCCTGGAGCTGGAAGAAGAGACAGACAAGTTGTGTTGGAATATTATAGGATTATCAGAGATCCGAAGAGAGGGGGAGGACACGGTGATTCTAGAATTCGACAACTCGTTCTATCACCGAGGGGATGAGAATCTGTCCCAAGTAGGTGTTGGATTTATCGTCCACAAGTCTCTCGTTAACAAATTTATAAAGATTGGGAGTGTGTAGACGAGGGTTGCGTACCTTATACTCAGAATCACATAACGGTATTCGCTTAAGGTCATACAGGTTTAAGCACCAACGTCGGCACATCCCGATGAGGAGGTGGAGGAAATGCATGAGGATATTTCTAAAACCATTCATTCCTTCAAAACCCACTATACGGTATTAATGGGAGACTTCAACGCAAAACTAGTCACAAGAAAGATCGGTGAGCTAAAGGTAGGAAAATTTGGGATAAGGCAACGGAACCCAAGGGGCCAGCAGCTGGCCGACTTCATGGAGAAAGAGGGATTCTTTATGATGAACTTTTTTCTTTCAGAAGCGGAGCTGGTCGAACCCCGAGGGTTCGAGGAAAAATGAGATTGACTTCATTACAACGACTAGACGGCAACTGTTCAGTAATGTCTCAGTGATCGCAAGTGTGAAATTTGGCAGCGGTCACCGAACGTTAGAGGCACACTGAACCTAAACGTTAAGTTGGAGTGGTCTCGTCTAATGAAGTCAACACTCAGTCCCCTCGTGCTCTAATCTAAAATCCCGAAAACTTACAGCTGGAGTTACAAAATCGTTTTCAGTGCCTAGAAGATTGCAATGCAGTGGATAATATGAATGACCAGCTCGTGGAAACTGTCTATGCAGTCGGAGCTAATTTCTGCAAGACCCGCCGCAGAACACAAAAACTCTCCGATCACACTCTTAATCTCATGACTGTTAGATGGGAGATGAAGATGCAGTCGTCAGCAGCTTTGACAGCAACTGAACAGACAGATCTCCAAATGCATGCGGCGGGACTTACGCAACTTTAATGCTGCTCGTTTTGAAGAAGCGATCGAGCGGAACCAGGGCTCCAAAGTGTTTGCTAGAGGTCTGTCTGCCAGAAAGAGCCAACTGTCAAGGCTGAAGACTGAGTGTAGCAAGATCGTTTCCGGGACACCTGAGATTTTGAGTGAGATTGAGAGATTCTATGGGCAACTGGTGTACAGTTGCCCATAGAACTTCTCAATTATCGTTGGAGCCACACGCAAGTGTGAGTAACGATCCAAGAGCAAGTCTTATTCGACACTATTCCAATAATATACTTGACGTCAGTCTGAGCGAGATTAGAATGGCTCTCCAGCACCTTAAAAACGGCAAGATCCCAGGTGAGATTGGAATTACAGCGAAGCATCTGAAAGCGGATGGAAAACCGGTATTTGAACTACAGACCAATTTCCCTTCTGAGCCGCGTCTACATGCCGTTTTCGAGAGTCATTACGAATCGTCTCGCACGCAGACTCGACGACTTCCAGTCTCCCGAGCAAGCCGGTTTCGAAAAAGGCTTCAGTACCATAGGCCACATAAATATCCTACGGCAGATTGTACAGACGACCAAAGAGTACAATATGCCACTTTTGCCTGGCGTATGTGAACTATGAGAAAGCCTTTGATTCCGTCGAAATTTGGGCAGTGCTACAGTCCCTTCAGCGATGCCAAGTTGACTGTCGGTATCGAAGTGCTGAAGTGTTTGTACAGTAGAGCTACGATGGCTCTCCGAGTACAGAACCAGAGTTCGAAACCTATCTAACTGCAGAGAGGTGTACGACAGGGTGACGTTATATCCCCGAAACTCTTCACCGCTGAATGCAGCTTCCAATGGGAAGACGTTTTTAAACTACAGGACTGTAAAAGATACGGTATTAACATCAATGGCAAGTACATCACTCACCTTCATTTGCCGACGATATAGTCCTTATGCCAGAATAGCTGTAAGACCTAAGCACTATGCTCAATGAACTCAATAGTGTCTCCCAACAGATAGGTCTTAAGATGAACAAGGACAAAACAAAGATCATGTTTAATGTCCATGTCACACCTATGCCGGTAGTTGTTGGGATCACTAAGCTCGAAGTTGTTGACGAGTGAGTTTACCTGCGATAAATAGTCCGACTAGGTAAGTCCAACTTTGACCAAGAGGTTAATCAACGGATTCAACTCGGCTAGGCAGCGTTCGGGAAATTACAACACATCTTCTCGTCAGGTATACCTCAAAACCTAAAAACGAGACTGTACAACCAGTGCGTGTTGCCAGTGGTTACTTATGGATCTGAAACGTGGTCCTTCACTGTTGGCCGTATAAGGACACTCAAGGTCACTCAGCGAGCTATGGAAAGGGCTATGCTTGGGGTTTCTCTGCGTGATAAACTTAGAAATGACGATATCCGCAGTAAAACCAGAGTGACCGACATAGCCCAACGGATTAGTAAGTTGAAGTGGCAATGGTCCGGCCATATAGCTCGAAGAACCGACAACCGATGCGGAAAAATGGTTCTCAAGTGGCAGCTTCGTACCGGTAGGCGTAGTGTAGGGCGATCCCACACTAGATGGAGTGACGACCTGGTAAGACACGAGGAAGTCTATGGATACAGGTGGCTCAGGACCGTGCTTTGTGGCATTCCTTGGGGGATAGTAATGTTCTGCAGTGGACTTGTGAAGGACTGTAATGAAGGTTGTGATGATGAAAATAAACAATAAAACACATTCATAAACTGAACGTATTAGCGTATTAGAGTAGGTAGGTAGTAGTAACACCTACCTATTCATTAGTTAGAATGAATATTTGTGGATAAATGTAAAATAGTATCCATTAAACTCAATTTTCATTAAAATCCGAAAAAACCGGATTTGAATCTTAAAAACCGGATTTATAAAACTCTGGAAAATCCGTATTTTTCAGTTATTTTCGAATTTCGAAGAATCCGGATTGCAATCACTACGCACACGCACACACACAAAGTTTGCACGAGCGAACGTTAATCGCACAAAATCGCAGGTAAGTAATCCTAGGAACTTCTTGACAGAATAGCTCAAAAATTTTTTGCCCGCACCCGTGATTTATGATGAGCAATTGCGTTTACGAACGAGAAAGTGAAACACTATTAAACAAATTAAATATTCATTTACAACACTTTTATCTAATAATCTCATCACCGTCATTGTAGCCCATCGCGAGTCCACTGCTGATAACAGAGCCTTCCAAGAGCCCTTCAAGAAATTCCTGATCTAATAGTATAAATGCTTTTATTGTTATTGTTACGAGCTTGAGGTTCGTTACAATAAAAACTGCCCATTTAATTACCAAAATTTACACTTTTATTACCGAACTCCAATTAAAACTTAAAACACTAATAATTAATCACACTGATACACTTTATTTCCGAAGCTTCGCTTGTCTCGCCAAATTCAATACTGCCCCGATAGCGGGTTGCAGCGGCTTTAAATACACCTTTTACACCGAAACATCCAGAATATTCCAGTAAATACGGGCGTCGAACGACCGGACGCAGAAAGTTCGAGTGTGGGGCTTCTAGAAAGCTTAATTCTAGAATTGAATACTAGATGGCGCTGTTGGTCGAAAGATCAAGATTAACATTTTCTAGGAAGCCCTCCTCGCTCTGGTCCTCGACACTAGATTGCGCTAGTGCCAGGTACCTGACGTCGACTTAGGCGCGCAACATTATTATATCAATTTCCATGTGGAAACTTTATTCAGTTTATAACTGCATAGTTAAGATCATATCTTAAAGTTGTAATAGCATCATTAAGATAAGTTATTACAACATTATCTTTTTTGCTTTTCCAGTTCTAGCTCCTTATTATGAGAACACATCTTGTTTCGAGCAAGAACTGAATTCTTTCCTTTACCACATAGTTGATTCTTACCACAGCACAGTGTAATAGAAATAAATATGAAATTATTCACCTTTGCTGTTTCCATTTGATAATTCAAGAGTTTCAATTTAAAATTCACAACATCCTTACTGTCTGATGGACTCCAAGACCCAAAGTGACTCATAGGCTCTGAAATAAAATAAAATAAATGTTAACCTGATAAATGTAGGTAGACGGTAAAATTTTTTTGGCATGATAATGTTACGAGCTTAGGGTTCGTGACAATAAAAATTGCCGATAAAATTACCTAAATTAACACTTTAATTTACTTTACACAAATTAAAACTTAAAACACTAATGATTAAACACACTAATTCACTTAATTCCGCTCCGAAGCTTCGCTTGTGTCGCCGAGTTCAAGTCTACTACGATCGCATCTTGCAGCGCCTACTTATTTAAATTAGCAAAGAAATGTCCAGAATGTTCAAGTAAACACGCGCAAGGTACCGAGCGTTCGAGTTTCGACTAGGCGCTGTCGGTTGAGTGATTTGTGATGTCATTTTCTCAATGCTCCCCTCGCTCTCGTTCCTGCCACTAGATGGCGCTAGTGTATCGTCGAATTGAGCGCGTAACACTGCCCCCTCCTAAGACATGCTCGTCCCGAGCATTATCGGTCCCATAATAACGCGCTAGGCGATCCACATGGACAATCTTAGGAGTCCCTCTTGCGCCTTTCTGTAACGGCTCCGCAATGTCAAGGGCTGTTCTATCCCGTGGTGCACCAACATTGTACAATTTCGGTGCTCCTCTACTACGTGTCTGAGGTCCCCGCACGGCCGCACAACTTGTACATGTACGACACCAATCCTCGACATCGTCACGATAATGGACCCAGTAAAACTGTTCTGGGACCTTCAGTAGAGTTCGTTTAACTCCCAGATGGACTCTTGAACGACCATTATGGCACAGCTGTAGAACATTCGGCACTTTAGCTTTAGGGACAACCATTTGCAAACGACAGCTGTCCCTTCGACCATTGTCCCATTTACGGCACAGGACTCCATCCTGAATCAGCAAGCTGTCCCATTGGGCCCAATAGCTTTTCGTGGTTGAACTCATCGCTGAGACGTCCCTCCACTTAGGCTTGGTAGTACGGGCCATCATCCATCCCAGAATCGGCTTGATGTCCGGATCTTCCTGCTGTGCATGTCGTAGGCTGTCCTTCCACCCGTTGCTGAGGTGGTCTGTCCTGAGCATCCTCACGGATACCACTTCCTTACTCTCTTGCCTACTACAATGGTTGCAATCTTCAGGACAAGGTCTTTTTGTCAATGCATCTGCGTTGCCGTGAGATTTCCCCCTGCAGTGTCTGATAGTAAAGTCGTATTCCTGCTGCTGCTGGGCGGTGCTGTTAGCCGCACTTCCTTTCTGAGACCGTTCACCTTCCCTTCCTAGGGTGTGCTTAGGGCAGCTGGACCGAAGATGGCCCCTTTCCCCACAGCCATAGCACCTAGGGCTGTATCTTTTATTGTGGTCGCGAACCGTAACTGCTGTAACCTCCCTAGCGTGAGGTGAACGATGATCCTGTCGCCGCCAGGCAGTGCCGTTAGCTGTACTACCCTCTCGAGATCGATCAACTCTCCTTTCCACGGTTAGTTTAGGGCAGCTGGATCGAAGATGGCCCTTTTCCCGACAGCCATAGCACCTAGGGCTGTATCCTTTGCTGCGGTCACGGTCTGTAGCTGCTGCAACCTCCCTGACGCGATGGGAACGATGATCCTGCCGCACGGCTTCCACTTCCAGTGCATGGGCCAAGGCGTCCTTAAGCGTCTCGTGGTGCCCGAGCCTCACAGCAGCTCTGACTTCCAGGTCGCGGATGCCGTCGATGAATGTCTGCACCAGGTTCCCTTCAATGAGCGCAGGTACAGACCGGTATGCTTTTCGCACCAGCTTCTCCACTTCTAGAGCCCACTGCTGCAGGTTTTCGTTGATGCGCTGCACACAATCTTTAAGCTGCGCACGAAAGACGTGTTCCAGGTGAGCGTCGCCATATCTCGCCTCCAATGCCTCAAGGAGTTGCTCATAAGTCACTTCCTCACCGAGAGCTTCCAGAACTGTTAAGGCCTGGTCGCGCAGGCCTAGTGTGAGAGCAGTCATGGCTTGACTTTTATTCCAGCCGTTCGCCTTCATAACAGCCTCGAACTGGATTTTGTAGGCTGACCAGAAAGAAGTCCCGTCGAACGGTGGCACCTTGAACCCACGTAGCGAAGGTGATGTAGCTACTACGGGAGCTGTCGTTCCATCCCTAAGTTTGAGGTCCTTCAGCGTTTTCTTCACGTCAGCCATCACGTTGTCAACCCGATTGTTCTCATGGTTGATTCGGGTCTCATGTTCTTCGATTCGGGTTTCAGCTTCCGACAGGCGGTTGTCATGTTCAGCAACCCTATTCTTCACCTCCCTTATCTCTTTCCCAAAGGTAGCGTGAAGGTCCTTCATGAGGAGCATCTGCTCTTCCAACCGACGAGCCTGTTCCGCCTGCTGATCTTCCAACCGACGGGCCTGTTCCTCCTGTCGGCGGGCCTGTTCCTCCTGTCGGCGGGCCTGTTCCTCCTGTCGGCGGGCCTGTTCCTCCTGTCGGCGGACCTGTTCCTCTTGTCCGCTCTGCAGCTGCTCTTTTAACTGACGGACCTGTTCCTCCTGTCGGCGAGCCTGCTCCTGCAGCATCACCATCAGAGCACCTAAGTCGGGTGCTGCAGATGTAGGAGCTACTGACGGGCCTGCAGCCGGCGACTGTCCCTCCGACGTCTGCGGCGTTGCACCACCAAATCTTCGTTGGTCCGTCTCCTGCTGGCGTTGACTTCGGGTACGGACACCCTCCGTTTCCTCCTTAGGTAAAATCGGCATTATTTTATCCCACTTATGACACCAATTGTTACGAGCTAGGTTAGGTTAGGTAGGTTAGGGTTCGTGACAATAAAAATTGCCGATAAAATTACCTAAATTAACACTTTAATTTACTTTACACAAATTAAAACTTAAAACACTAATGATTAAACACACTAATTCACTTAATTCCGCTCCGAAGCTTCGCTTGTGTCGCCGAGTTCAACTCTACTTCGATCGCATCTTGCAGCGCCTACTTATATAAATTAGCAAAATATCCAGAATGTTCAAGTAAACACGCGCAAGGTACCGAGCGTTCGAGTTTCGACTAGGCGCTGTCGGTTGAGTGATCTTGTGATGTCATTTTCTCAATGCTCCCCTCGCTCTCGTTCCTGCCACTAGATGGCGCTAGTGTATCGTCGAATTGAGCGCGTAACAATAATGTAACATTAAATGAGATACGTACATACGAGTTTTAGTTAAGTAAAAATAACCCCAAACATTGAAATGTAATATTATTACAAATAAAAAATAATTGGACAAACATGTTTAACACAACTTATAAGCCAACAAGTACTGTAATAATCGTTGTAAGAATATGGTTATTTAAAATGAAATAAAAATAAAAATATTTATTTTTATTTCATTTTAAAATCTTTATTTTGTGGTGATAATTAGTGGCGATTGAAAGAAAAAAAGAGAAAAGAAACTAAAATTATACGTAATGTCGTACGTACGCAACATATATTATATGGCGTGGTGATAATTAGTAGCGATTGAAAGAAAAACAACAGAAAAGAAACTAAAATTATACATTATGTCGTACGTACGTAACGTACATTATATGTAAGGAAATATATTTCGATATAATATTGTAATTACATTTACATCTGTATATTTTTACTCATATTGATATGATAAACAAGTGTGTATATATACTGTATGACCTTTTTTACCGTCTGGAAAATGATATGGTTTTTTTGTGTAAGTGGAATAGAAACTATTCGCAAAAATATTTGTAAAATATAACAAAATATGTATAACCAGATAGGCAAAATTTCCGAATGTCCAAAAAAAATACATAAAAACAATTCATCCTACCATATAATATCAATGACCTTAAAACGTTGAGTATAAATACTAGGTACTGTCTACTAACGCAAGTATACTGGTTATTAGTAAAATACTTGGTCGATAAAAGAAAGAGATAGCAGCACTTCTCATTGCCACTTTTTCATTAATAATGATGTCGCGTGTCGAAGATCGAAATCAACTTATTTACAAACTACACTGATTGATATTTACAAAATTATAATACATTATTGTTATTTACAAATAAAATATACTTTTTTTGCGATATCACAGTAATTGTGCAAAATGTTTGCTGTTTCCTTCCAAACATAAACTAGCACGTCTTTGTAAATTGTTTCTTAAACTTCGAAGCATGTCTCTATCATTTTTATCACATTAAATGCGTCTATTATACGCTGCTTTAAATCACTAACACTTTGTGCTTCTTCTGTGTATACCAATCGTTTTAGTTCATACCACAAATAAGTCTAGAGGTGTTAGGGCATTTTTAAAAAAAAATTTAGGATTTTTTAATTTTTGTAGTGATCTTGCCGACAAGTTCACAGGTCAACCAAGACCTATCCACATACCACCGACTTGGTTATCCAGATATGCGCGCACAGATCGTTCGTAATAAGCTGGACATCCATCATGCTGGAAGTACATTTGTTGCAGATGGCTCAGAGGAACGTTTTCCAACATTGTGTCAATGATGGAACGTATTATTTGCAGATACGTTACTCCCGTTAATCGACCTTCAATCCATAAATTTCAACACGGGTAAATATTGATTCGTTGCACCGTCTAAGTTTTCAGCAGACAAGACATAAAATCTCGTCATTGTTAGATACTCGACATTATAGTATTGGTACATAATGATTTCTTATATTTACGCGAACACTACACATTGAAATAATACTAGTTTTTAGAGATTTTATAGCGTATATTTAACTGTAAATACCCGACGTTTCGAGCGCTTTACAGCACTCATGGTCACCTGGCGGGGGAGGGTACTGAGATTTTCAACGTCCAGATGTCATAGTTAACAGCAGTTACCATAGATAAAAATTTAACTTTTATTCCGATCTACACAGTATGAACTTATGGAATCTCGAAGTCTTGCAGTTGTATGCTTGGGTTGGGATTTAATTTTATTTATTATAGGATCCCAAGCAGATGGTAGCACCCAGCCATCTTCTCTATTGAAATTAGGATGTTTTTTGATTTCAATAGCCTCGCTCATCTTTGGAAGGAATAGGTGTTCTTTAGCGAGGATTTGTGGTCTATCAAACCTGATGTAGTGACGGGGGCGATCCTGTATGTGTTCACAGACTGCAGACTTCCCGGAGCGTCGATTCTTCACATCAGCTATATGTTCTTTAACGCGGGTTTTAATTGATCTTTTAGTTTGTCCTATGTAGGAGAGACCACATTCACAATCAAGCTTGTACACTCCTGAATCTTGCAGAGGGATGTTACACTTGACTGATGGTAAAAACTGACCAATCTTCTTCGGCGGCTTGAAGTATGTTTTAATGGAAGCGCGCTTCAAGATGTAGCCAATCTCAATCAATTGGTCAAAATCAATTAGTACATGTTTACGCTACAAATGCGGAAACATAAACAATACGACGGCGACGCGACGTCACGCTACAGCTAACCACCGGTAAAAGAAATGAGAATCGAGGGTGCGGGCGGCTTTGTCCTTAAGCCTATGACCCTACGAAAGGACATTGACAAATAATTTGTTTTATTGCCTCTCGTAAACTAGGGTGGATATGACTTGAGTTTCGATAGATTTTAATTGATTTATTTATTAAATTCAAAGTTTTTGTTTCTAATTTTTGTAAAATATCAATGCCATAGGCTTCTAATCCGTTCACCTGTCACACCCTATTTTTCCAGAAAGTAAAAAAGGTCGTCCAGTATATATATATATATATATATATATATATATATATATATATATATATATATATATATATATATATATATATATATATATACAAATTAATACATAAATACAAAATTAATGAATATGCATAATACGACTATTTAACCTTTCATGTCAAGAAGAGATACTGAAATCGATCCTTGAGGTAAGAAGGCGATATGGTAATGAATTGTAAAATGAACAAGTAATATTCTGGAATTGTGCCTTTGCCTTATGGTGAACCACTTAAGCTGAGATCTTTTTTTTATAAATGAGGGTGCAAACGAGCATGCGGCTCACCTGATGGTAAGTGTTACCAGTTCCCCATGAACAACTGCACCAGGGGAATCGCAAGTGCAAAGAGTAGGCTCTATTATTAAAGGTCCCTAAGTCTTATCGGTCCGAAAAAATCACTGGCGATAGTCGATTCCACATGGAAGTTGTGCGAGGAAGAAAACTTCTTGTAAATTGCACAGTGGTGGCCTGCCAATCATCCAGATGGTATGGATAGAATCGAGAGTTTTGTCACGATGGTAAAATTGACTGGCTGGAATTAGTCTGAATAATTCCTGAAAGCACTCCTTGTGTTAGATGAGATAAAATATGCAAAGATATGCAACATCTCTTTGCAATGCCAGTGAATCAAACCAATCAGAAAGAGGCCGGTTGCCGACGATTCGGGCCGCTCTTCGCTGGATGCGACCAAATGCATAGAGCTGGCACTGAGTATCCTATGTAAGGCTGAACCTGCGCCCCGTAAAATTGCAAGCGGTGTGCCGGCATGAAATACTGTTCCGCTCTGCTGAGCACGCCAAGCTTTTTAGAGGCCAATTTGGCCTTCTCTTCCAAATGACCACAAAACTGCACATCATTCCTTATGTCGACGCCGAAGATTCCGACACTGGCTGAGGCAATAAGGGGAATGCCCTGAAACTGTGGAGATAAGAAAATGGGGTGGTTTGTAGGGGTAAACGCGCAAACTTGTATCTTCTGGGGATTGAACTGAATTAGGTTTAGTTGGCCCTATCCAAGACTTAGTTCAACAAAGTCTGTTCCATATTTATATTGAGAAATATGGTCATACTTTCACAGACCAAAAATAAATCTAATACAGTTGTTAAACAGACGCTCCAGCTTGTTAAGAAGTTCTTGGAACAGGGACAGGTCAAGGTCAAGATAAAAATTTTGTTTTCTAAAACATTGCAATACCTACGACGTATAGTTATATCGGCGTGGAATTATCCATCATAGGCTCTGTTAATAGATCCATATTTTATTAAATTATTACATGCATTTAAAATTTAAATAAATAATTAAAAAAATTTAAATTATTAATTTAAATTTTAAATATCTCAATTCAGTAGTATGCTTCTTACCAATCCCACTGTCTCCATTAAGTACAGTGTCTAGAGGGTCTAAGTTATTTTGTTTGTTACTTTCATTGTTGTCATCAGAATCTTCCTCGTCATCATTTTTCGTAACATCTATATCAGTCTTATACTCAAAAATTGGTTCTGATTTAATTTTCTGAAACATTTGTCACACTCAATTTAAAACACCGTAACCGTTACAGCCTTTAAAAAAAATATCTACTGCTGAACATAGATTAGCCAAAATAATTCCACTGTTGAATATACATTGACTCATATGGGGAATATTTGCCACTGTTACCACGCTTGGCAAGCAGGCTGGCAACTGCATTTTTTTATTACATAATTGTTATTGAAAAGATGCTGCTGTCTATCTCCTGTTACAGTTTCCCTCTGTCGCCTCTTGTGACACCCACGGGACGATATGAGGTAAGAATATTACACCACCACTACACAGTAGTTTAGTTAAAACCCAAGGTCTTCAATGGAATCAAAATTGCTCATCATTTCATCATCATTACAGCCCTTCACAAGTCCACTGCAGAACATGGCCTATGTCCCCCAAGTAATGCCACAAAGCACTGTCCTGAGCTACCTGCATCCATCAACTTCCTGCATGTCTTACCAGGTCGTCACTCCATCTAATGGGGGGTCGCCCTACACTACGCCTACCGGTACGAGGCTGCCACTCGAGAACCTTTCTTCCCCATCAGTTATCGGTTCTTATGGCCTATACTACTATATGGCCGGCCCATTGCCACTTCAGCTTACTAATCCGTTGGGCTATGTCGGTCACTCTGGTTTTACTGCGAATATCCTCATTTCTGTGTCTATCATGTAGAGAAACTCCGAGCCATAGCTTGTTGAGCGACCTTGAGCGTGCTCATCCGGCCAGCAGTGAAGGACTACGTCTCAGATCCGTAAGTCATCACTGGCAACATGCACTGGTTGTACAATCTAGTTTTCAGAGTTTGAGGTATACCTGATGAGAAGATGTGTCGTAATTTCCCGAACGCTGCCCAGCCGAGTTGAATCCGTCGATTGAACTGCCGGTCGAAGTTGGACTTACCTAGTCGGACTATTTGTCCCAGGTAAACGTACTCGTCAACAACTTCGAGCATAGTGCTCCCAACAACTACCGGCATAGGTGTGACATGGACATTAAACATGATCTTTGTTTTGTCCATGTTCATCTTAAGACCTATCCATTGGGAGACACCATTGAGGACATTGAGCATAGTGCTTAACTCCTCCAGCGATTCTTCCATAAGGACTATATTGTCGGCAAATCGAAGGTGAGTGATGTACTCGACATTGATATTAATACCATATCCTTTCTAGTTCAGTGTCTTCCAATGCAGCGGTGAAGTTTCGGGGAAATAACGTCTTACACCTCTCTGCAGTTGGATAGGTTTCGAAATCTGGTTCTGTACTTGGATAGCCATCGTAGCCCTACTGTACAAACACTTCATCACTTCGATATACCGACAGTAAACTTGGCACCGCTGAAGGGACTGTAGCACCACCTAACTTTCGACGGAATCAAAGGCTTTCTCATAGTCCACATACGCCAGGCAAAGTGGCAGATTGTACTCTTCGGTCTTCTGTACAATCTGCCGCAGGATTGCTAGTAAGATATAAAATCAATTCTTTAGTTTAAATTTCAATATTATAAAAATTACGTTGACATACCTCATTTACATCTTCTAGCCTTTTATGACAACTGCTTTGAAGATATTGCTTTGAACTGATATTTTTTGCCATTCTTTTCATATTATTAAACTTGGTACGTAAGACTTTTGTTGATCGCTTTTGTGGACTTCGTTTGTTGAAAGTATCTGTTATCTGCATAAAAATAAAACATCATAAATATATAGTTGGTTGCCACATATATAAAGCTTTGATTTTTATTCACAACTGTTAGAGGCTAAATGACTTCTAATAGCTGTTGGGATTGAAATCAAATAACAATGTAGCGTACCCTTGTCCAAGCACTATTTTTCATTTGAATTGCTTTGCCTGTGCTTTCCTTGCAGAATATATTTTTCTTTTCTTCTCTTACACATTTCAAAAGAAGGCTACACTCTTGAGGTGAGAAATTCAATGATCTATTAGACCTAAAATAGTCATGTCATCTTCAATATTATATGCACATGTACATTATAGAGAGGAAACATCAGACTTTTTGTATTTACTTTATTTTATACATAATTTAGATACATCTGTATGACACCTTATTATTCTAGTGGTTGTAACTGTGACTGGTGATCATAAAGTCCTGGGTTTGAAACCTGGGTCAAAACAAGATTAACTTATTGGGTTTTATGATAAGAAATTTGCAGAAGCAGCCCGGAGTTTGGAATTTGCAGGTATTTCACCCATATGCTATGGACAGAACATAAAGCCATTAGTCCTGCGGCTAATAACACATGTCAACTTTTATTTTTCTATTTCTCCAGGACTTGACTTTCCCTATCCAACCCAGTCCACATATAATCATCCTTAATTTAAGATGTCATAAAATAATAAAACTTTATTTCTCTACATATTTACAGAGTTAGAGAGTAACAAAAATAATAAATAAATAAATAGAACTATTAGAAAGTATTTCTTGTTTTATGTAGTCCCTCTTGGGTAAAAGCCTCCTCCAATTTGAACCATTCTTCTCTAAGATTTCTTACAAAGATTAAATAAAGAAGTAAGATAAAAACATTAAAACTAAAAAAAATAAGAGGAATTTAAAAATGTTTTTACAATTTACAAACTGATACATGATTTGGAAACTTAGTTATAACATTTGAACTTGAGCTTCGAATGTTTACAAGTTTTTCAACATAATATTTACAATGTTAATTGGGTAAAATATGTGCTACCTTCCAGCGTCCACATCTCCATCTGTAATGTATTGAAAGTTAATGATAAAAATATACAAATTAAAAAATATGTTCATAAATTATAATATTAATGATTAATTACCTGAATTATCCGACTCTTTCTCATCCAAGTCCTCCCAATAAGTATTAGATGTATTTGTTTTATCTTTTTGATCTGTATCTGTAAAAATTAAGTTTTGGACAACTATCTACTACGAAATGTTATATAATCAACCCACAATTGTATACAATATTTAATTTATTAATATTCTACTGTGGTTGCAATTCATTGAACTGTTTTGATAAATTGTCACTTAACATCATAGCAAAACACAGATGTTAAAACAGTAATATTAAAAAGAAATTACCATTTAAGTCATAATCTAATATAGGTGGAATTTCCAAAGCATTTCCACTCTTTTCTGCTTCACACATCATAGACAATATTTGATTAGTTAAATCATTGAATTCACTGTATTTAATATCCATTAAATTTTTTGATAATTTTCTGGCATCTTTTTTTAAATTCTCCCACTTTGTTTTTAAGCTATCAGCACTTCTTGAATATTTGAATCCTTGATTATTAAACATTTTAGCTATTTTATTCCAAGTCACTTCTTTAGCATGACTGGCAGCAGCACTTGTAGATTTATTTAAAATAATGCTCTTGTATTTTTCAATTATATCTACCAACGCTTTTATTTCTTCCTTACTGAAAGTAGGACTTCTATGCCTATCGAAAAAATCATTAATATTTATAATATATTCTAATAGGAACTAACTAAATTGATAAAATGTACTTACGAAACTGACGTTTTATCATTTTTGTACTCATCGTCCATCATAACTTATATTTGAACAAAACGTTGATGATGTGGGTAAAATAATATTTTTTAATACATTTCTATGGCTTAGCTTTAATTTTTAGTAATCTTTTTTACATAGCATTAGAATGGGTGCTTTTAGAATACGGTAAAATCTTGGATAAAATTATCTCAGGATATATCGTATGCACATTCTTCGTAATATTTAAATCAATCACAAACACAAACTAACTAAACACTCCGATTTGTATGTTGCTACATATATATTTTTTTTATATATTTGTTTTGAGTTAACAAAAACCTGCCGCACTCGATCTCAGGCACAAAGTACTTTCTAATACATAGATAAATAAATATGTAGCAAGCTATTTCTAATATACTGAAAATCTCAGGCACTCAAATACTAGCCACAGAGTACTTTTTTATATATAATACTAGCATAGAACATAGATTACTAAATATATACTAGAAGAATACTAGTATACAGTGTTACCACCTGGCTAGTTAATAGTGGTTTAACGGCGGCTCTACACGTTGGACAACACAGTGGCCAATGTAGTGGCGAAGATATTGGCCAAGAGTTTGTGACGGCATCCACACGTTGGAAGATCGTTCATGGCCCGGCCACACTAAGGAGAAATGCCGTTAATTATCGCGTTGATAGACGTTGAATGTAGGTGTGGCCACGAATTAACGCGATAATTTTCAACGGCATTAACAATGCCGTTTCCCGTTTTCCGATAACTCGAGTAGCGGTACATCAAAGGATTAACGCGCGAATTATCGCGTTGAAGCGGCCACACTACGTTTGTCTTTGTCTCATTGTGCACGGTGAGTGCCACGGGGCTGCACGTATGGCTGCGATGGAGTGGAGTAAGGAAAAAGCTTTTCGAGATTGAATTAAATAAAATTACTTCAAAAGTTAAAAGTTAACGGTATGAAACTAAGAAAATTAAGCAGGAGAAAAAAAAAACAATTTTTGCAGGTCAAAATTCATAGTGTACAGTGGTACGAAACCCTGAGTAGGTACGTGTATCTAATTCGCACTTGACCAGTATTTATGATTGGCTTATTAGTTACTACTTCATTAAAATATATATACGTTTGTCTTATTATTTAGCTTAAACCATTGGACATCTTTCTAGTGCATTTTGGGTGCGGGAAAACAAAATAAAACATAAATAGATTTACAGTGTACGTTTCCTGTGCATTTGTAGCATCCACCACCTTCTTTTTCTTTGTATTCATTTTTTCTTTGTTTATTTTTTTATTTTATAGGATAGGGTGACAAACAAGCACACAGTCCACCTGATGGTATGTGGATGCTGTAGCCCACAGACATCTACATCTATCCTCGATTACGAATCAAAATGCAGATGCGTTGTCACCCGTGAGGACTAGGATGGAATGCCTCGTTTGCAGTAAAAAGAGTCTCCGGTTTTCTACACTCACCTTACGAAACACAGCAGCATTAAGCTACTATTTTACGCTGGTATTCTGTGAGAGCGTGGTCCTTCCCCGGTCGAAACATTTAACAACGGCAAATTTAACGCCGTTCAACGGCAAATTTAATGCCGTTCAACGGGAAACGACGTTGACCGTTCAAGTGTAGCCACTCATTTTATCGCGTTAAATTTAAGGCAATAATTGTTCCGTTTATGGGCATTGACGTTGCTTGTTAGTGTAGCCGCAGCATCAGTTTGCTTCAGTTCAGGCCAATGTGAGGACGAATTTATTTTATTTTAGACGTCGGCTCCGTGGTGCAGTTGCTTACCAAAGAGTGACTGCGCCGGGGGCCGCGGGCTTGAAACCCGCACGGAACAAGTATTTGTATGTCCTACAAATAATTGTTTCGGGTCTGGATGTGTGTCCTTGTGCAATTTATGTTTTTAAGCTACCTCCGCGATACAGGAGAAAATCCAAGTATGGTGTGTATAATATTACTACCACTATCCACCATTACTCTTTTATAAATAATTATAAAAGAATAGTGGCTGTAAATAGATATACGATTAGCTTTATTTATTCTTTACATGCATCATAAACTGGAATAAATATCATTAATTAGAACTTAACTTATTTTGAAGTTATAGGAGTTATATTTTTTAACAGTGGTACAGCCACGCGGCAGCTTTGCTGTTGCACGTATGGGCCGGCACAAACCGGGGTGGTACCACGACCTCACAGAATACCGGCGTGAAGTGGAAGCTCTGCTTCCGCGTTTCGTCTGGTGAGTGCAGGTGGCCGGAAGCCCAAATCCCCCCCCCCATCAACATGGTAGCGGAATTAAATGATGATAGACTACCCCAGGAGGGTACCAGCACCCCTGGAGAAACCCTCGCTGAGCATACACGACCACGTTTCTCCACTCCTGACCGTGGGTGCTCAGGCTGCCCCGCGTATTCTGTGGGGGGGGGGGGCAAAATTCCGCTCAAGACTACAACTGCTCGGGGCAAACGGAGCAACAAGACCAAGGTGACCCCTGCCACGCTATCCGTGAATTTCTGCAATATCAGGGGACTTCACTCTAACCTAAACGCCGTCCACTACAATCTCGAGACGGCGAGGCCGGCTCTGCTCTTTCTGACCGAGATGCATGTGTCCTCCCCGGCTGATATCTCGTATCTCTCCTGCTGGGAACAAACGGGAACACTTTTTTGTGCCTCGGGCTGGAGTTTGCGTTTACGTCAGAGAGGACATCTGTTCTCGAGGCCTCGGCAGTCTAGAAGGTTCGGACCTGTCCGTCTTTTGGCTACGCGTAGACAGCGACGACCATCCGCGCGTCTACGGGTGCCTTTATAGGTCCCATAGCGGTAATGCTGAAACAGACCGACTCTTCGACCACGTCCAAATGGGTACAGATTCGTTGCTACGGCAGATCCCCTCCGCAGAGATCGTGATCCTCGGCGACTTTAACGCCTATCACACCGAATGGCTTGGTTCACGTTTAACCGATCATGCGGGGAGATCTGTTCATGATTTTACCTTGGCATATGGTCTGACACAACTGGTTACTTCGCCTACGCGGATTCCAGATGTGGAGGATCATGCACCTTCCCTGTTGGACCTTCTGCTGACCTCTTGCAACATGTATAGATAACATTTTTACAAATGTTAAGCCGTTCAATAAATGTATAATTCAAAAATTGAGCTCTGATCACTGTGGACAATTTGTTTCATTACCTTATGTTCACAAAAAGCAAGTAGATAAAAAAGTAGTGTTTGTTCCAGTAAATGCACATCGCTTGGAGAAGTTTAGAAGTAACATAGTAAAAAAACTTCCATTACTTTCATACCAAAATAATCCAAATTTTTTGTATGCAACATTATTTAAGCTCATTCTCAATGAATTTATTAATACTTTTACTTCTAAAACATTCTCCTTGAATAATGGTAAAGCATTTAATGAATGGGCGACAGTAGGAGTCCATAAGAGTAGACAAAGGTTATATGAACTTTACAATGAAAGGTCATATAATCCTAGCGTCGAATTTAGGGAATATGTAAAAAAATATTCCAAAATATTTAAAAGAGTGTGCTCCTTAGCCAAGTCATTGTATTTAAGCAACAAAATAAAGACTGCTTCTAATAAAATTAAAATGGCATGGAGTATAATTAATAGTGAAACTGGTAAGGTCAACTCTCGCAATTCAAACTACCAGTTAAGTTTTAACAATAAATTAACTAAATCAGATCAGGACGTTGCAATGGTTTTTGAGAAATATTTTACTGATATTCCGATCTTAAGCACTAAGTCACTGAATTCTTCTCCTACCGTCGCCGAATCATTACTTAAACAAAATGTAAACGTGTGTACAAAGAATTTTACATTTCATAAAGTTTCATCAAAAGATGTTGTAAAATATTTTAAGACTATTGATATTAAGAGAACCGCCGATCTGTGGGGGATTTCTGTTAAAGTTATTGCGTCTATAATAGATACAATCGCACCTCAACTATCTATTATTTTTAATAGTAGTATCAAATCTGGTGTGTTTCCTGATTTAATGAAGCATAGTAAAGTAATACCTTTATTTAAATCTGGTAGTACATTGGACCCCGCTAATTTTAGACCTATTTCTGTACTGCCAACACTTAGTAAAATTTTAAAAAAAATTATTCTTAATCAATTGTTAATTTTTTTAATGTAAATAAATTATTTCATAAAAATCAATTTGGTTTCACAAGGGGTCGCTCGACAACTGATGCTGGTGTTGAGCTGATTAAATATATATTTAATGCGTGGGAGAATTCACAGGATGCTTTGGGTGTGTTCTGTGACCTATCCAAAGCCTTCGATTGTGTTCACCATGAAACATTAATCAGGAAACTTCAACACTACGGTGTAAGAAATGATGCTCTTAAATTAATTATTTCATATTTAAGTGACAGAACACAAAAAGTTGTTATTAATAGTATGAGTTCTTTCGGGTCGATTGTACAAATGGGCGTGCCTCAGGGCTCAATTCTCGGCCCCTTTCTGTTTCTTGTATATATTAATGACTTACCTTACATAGTAGGGGATAACCATGATATAGTATTATTTGCTGATGATACTTCATGAAGACGACAGTTATTAAATTACGACGCAGTAAATAATGCTATAGCTAAGTTAGTCAATTGGTTTAATGTTAATAATTTGCATTTGAATGGAACTAAAACTAAATGTATGAAATTGTAACTCCTAATGTTAAACATGTCAATACTAATGTAATTTTAAATGGGGAGGAACTGAGTCTTGTTGATACCACCAATTTTTCTTGGAATCACACTGGACGCAAAGCTTCAATGGCTCCCCCCATATATCAAAACTAGCTAGCAGACTTAGTTCTGCAGCATATGCTGTAAAAAGATTAGAACTCTTACCAGTGTTGAAACAGCTAGAATAGTTTACTTTAGTTATTTCCATAGCATTATGTCGTATGGTATTTTCTTATGGTTACACGCAACTGACACTGAAATTATATTTATTTTACAGAAGAGGGCCATTAGAGCAATATATAATTTAAAACCAAAAG